CGAATAAAATTAAGGCTTCGAAATGACAACTCCGAGTCAAATTTCTGGCACTGAGGGGATTTTCCGTGAAACACTTTCAGGTTCAATCTGAACACCTGGCGTGTGTCATGTTCCAGACACAGAGGGGATTTTTGTGACACACTTTAATTCTGGCTGACTCTGGTCACCTGGCGTGTGTAATGTTTCAGACACAGAAGGGATTTTTTGTGACACACTTTCTGACTGACTATAAGTACCTAGCATGTGTCTGGAGGTTAAATTACTCAAAGAGCAAACGAGTACAAATTTGCGAGCGAAATTTTCCCATTTTTCCCATGCCATTAAAATTTTTCATTTCGGATTGATATCTTGTGGTGCAAGTTGTCTAGTTATTTCGTTCCAGTTTATAAAGCGATTTGAAGTGCAAATTTGTTCAAGTCATTCCTCATATTCTGCTTACTAATTGAGAGCGCTGTGCATTATTCCATTCTTCATTTGCCATTGAATATACATTTTCATATTTTAATGTTAAATGTAATCGATCGGAAACAGATGTTATTGAGCGTTGGTCTCACTTGTCAAAAGTGAGCAATCATAATAAATATATCATCATTATTGCTAACAACAACTGTTCCATTCGACATAATTTGATTATTGTGAAATATAGCTTCATCACCTTAACAAGTAATTCAATTCATACTGTAATGTTTTCAACTGTAAATATTCATATACGCTTAAAGAAAAGCTTTGTTGCAGGTGAATCGAAAACATATCCACAGTTACAGTGAACATTGTCAATGGAATTTTAGTCCTAATATCATATCACGTTAAAATTAATGCAGCCATGTCTCAGTGACAGACATCACAAAAAGCGAGCTCGTTCGACCTTAAAAAATTTGATTCGTTAATTTTTATCAGTTAATTAGTAGTGAGTAAAGCATTTCTCTTACTGAGGTATTTCATTAGTAACTGACGAGTTTTTGTAGTACCGAAAAAATTTCAGTAATGACTGAAAATTTCAATAAGTGAAGTATATCACTATAGTAATTAAATTATTTCAGTTACTGAAGCATTTCAATAGTAACTGAGATATTTCCTGTAACAACTAAATTCAGAATTTTCTGTAATCGGTATTTTTAGCAATTGTGCTTCGGGAACTTGGAAATCTAATTTCCGCATATTATAACTGAAAGCTAAAAATACAAATTACGAAATTATAAGAATATTAAATCTTTGTTCTAAATTAACAAAAAAAACTAGATAATATATGCCCTACCATTTTGCAAACAATACTCATCTTGCCCTTTTCGGTTCAAAGCTTGCAGAGACGTAGTCCGATATCTGCTCGCGTGTGCTATCGAAATAAAAGCTAACGGCACACACGCTCCTAATTCAATGGAATCGAGCTAACCTTCCGGCAAGCATCATTCCAGGTCTTTGAAGTGCCTTTGGAACGAAATTACCTGGAACGTATTTTTCTGGCTGCTGAGACTCCAATACCTGATGATCTCAACATTATGTTAGAATTAGATAAGATAAATGGTGAGACTGACAGCGTTATTCCTAGAGAAAATGCGACTCAGAATAGACGACAGAAAAGGTTATTCCTGGAAGCTGCGACATAGAATAGATGCATTAAATATTTTTTTTGTATAGCATTGACAATAAAATTGATACCGTTATTCATAGAAAAGGTGAACTATAATAGATGCATTTTATTTAAAAATTTACTAAAATAGATTTAAAGACTAAAACCGTCATTACTAGAAGGTGCGCGCCAGAAAAAAAGGTATTTTGAAAAGTTTTGCATATTCGGATGTATGAAAATACAGATAAATGAGGAGAAAACAAGAATATTTGAATGTTTTTTGGCAAAGATAATAGGTAAATATACGTAAAATTTAATTGATTAATCTTCATTGTTGGGCTTGTGTCTTGAATCGTCTTCAGTCAAACAGCCGTTACAGTATATTGATTAAGTGAGAACGTTTGTGTCTATTATGAATTTCTTGAATTTCGTATAACATGGTGCTGTACTGCACAATTCAAGTTTGTAAATTAAATCATTTATAACATTATAGTTGGTTTAATAACATAGGTTTAATTTAGATATGCGACTTTTTTCAGTAATATTAACAAGCGTGCAGGCATTTATCATTTCATCGATTTTTTAATTTTTGTGTATTCTGAATGAGTACATTCGATTGCGTAGATCCATTGAATAAAGTTTGGATCTGATAATTTCGAGTGTCTATAATTTAGGAAGAAATAATTCATGCCAGGTTTATTAAAAATTGCTCTAATCTCAGCCAAAGCAAATTAATTTTTTATTTGCGGTTAAGATCCTCCAAAGTGAACTAAACAAGCAACGTTTCCACGCGCGAGTAAAATGTTTTGATGAATTTGATTGTCCTGGGCAAAACCCGCAAATTGAAATTTCACTGTTCCTCGAGTGAATCTACACTTCACCTTTCCTCTAGCGAATATAAATTTCACCATTACTAGAGCAAATTGAATTTTCACTGTTATACAAAAAAAAAATTACACGGTTCCTCGAGCGAATTTAAATTTCACCTATACTCGAGCAAATTAAATTTTCATGTTGATTGAAATTGAACTCATGTTTCACTCAAGTTTCACTAATATTTTACTTATGTTTCACTCATGTTTCACTCAGGTTACACTCATGTTTCACTCATATTTCCACTCGTGTTTCACTCATATTTTACTTATGTTTCACTCATGTTTCACTCATATTTTCACTAATGTTTCACTCGTGTTTCACTCATGTTTCACTCATGTTTCACTCATGATTCACTCATGTTTCATTCATGTTTCCCTCATGTTTCACTCGTATTTCACTTATGTTTCACTCATGTTTCACTCATATTTTCACTCATATTTCACTCATATTTTAATTATGTTTCACTCATGTTTCATTCATGTTTCACTCATATTTTACTTATGTTTCGATCATGTTTCACTCATGTTTCACTCCTGTTTCACTCAAATTTCACTCATGTTTCACTCATATTCCACTCATCTTTCACTCCTGTTTCACTCACGTTTCACTCATATTTCACTCATGTTTCACTCACGTTTCACTCATGTTTCACTCATGTTTCACTCATGTTTCACTCATGTTTCACTTATGTTTCACTCATATTTCACTCATGTTTCACTCATGTTTCACTATAACCGTGACCGTTAGTAACCGTGAGTTGATAACCGTGACCGTTAGTAACCGTGAGTTGATAGCCGTGACCCTTAGTAACCGTGAGTTGTTAACCGTGACCGTTAGTAACCGTGAGTTGCTATTCTAATTACTGATGAACAAAATATTAATATTTAGGTGATCTAATAACTGATTACTTGAGTACTAAAAATATTAAATTATTTTGAATCCTCAAATTATTAAGACTAGATTATTGCTAGTTTCTTTAGGTTATTGGAAGATATTTTAATATATTTTAGGATATTTCAGAATAATCGAGGATATTTTAATGTATTTTAGGATATTTTAGGATATTTGAGGATATTTGAAGCCCTCGGACATTGCGACCAAAACGCCCCCTCTCATAGACGAGGGCTTGCGTCGTCGGAAATAATGGAAATGCCATCCAAACGTTGCTTTCTGGGTGTGAATGTCAGTTTGAAAAAAACTAAAGCGCAGTTGAAGGAAAGAATATTGCATTTTTTTGTTTAAGAACGTTGCTGCTAGGCTGCGAATGTCAAGTTAAATAAAGAATAAGGAACAGTTGAAGGAAATTAAATTTCTTATCTGATTTTGTGTTGTAAATACAGACAGAAATATATCTCGTTGTACGATGTACATACGTGTATTTACGTATTGCATTCGAATGTTATATATATAATTAGTGTTATTGCAAGTAATTTTTTACTTATAAAGGTAAATAGAATAATTTAGATTACATTGAGCTGGTCTCGAATAATATAACTAATATCAGTTGCGATATCTGTCATAATTAAATAACAATAGTACCTTCATTCATAGAGCTCCATTACCTATTTCAATATTAATTTTTTACTCAATATTTTAGCGCATTGGCTAATTTAAATATTAATCAAGACTGCAACGTTCAATCAGTGCAGGTGGATAGGAAAAATGTTTGTCATGAATTTAATATCGCGTCAGCATCTGCCGACGTGGAATTGTGTCAAAATTGAATTTGGGACATCGAGCTGTTACCTAACTCTCAAAGAAATGAGCGAGACTTTGTCGAAATTGCGACGTATTTTTCATCCTTATAGGAGTCAACCTGAAACTGTTTTCATGGTTAAAATTGCATATTAGTGCTACGTGTCTTGTCTTACTATAAGAAAACTTGCAATTATCCCTCATGTTGTTTTTCAATTATATAATATTATATTTTATATAATATTATACATTATATAGTTACTAATGGATAATATTACAATATTATGTATTATAATATTATCCAAGTGTTGGCTTTTGAGTTGTTCCGGATGCTTAATTAATGTCTAATGAATGGCATACAAGAATAAATTTCATAAGATCAAATTAACAAAGAAGTTAACAAAAGAAAGAAATATGTTAAGAAAATTATCGCACATACAAAAAACGTTTATTTACGATTATGTTTTCCTCTGAAAAGTTTTAATAGAGATATAGTGAGTTCTGTGGCATCTTCATTGTATTTAAATTCATGAGAATGTGCTGAGATGGATTAATTTACTTGAGTATAAATGATATGTTCTTATTAATATTTAAAATCCTTACCTTTGCTTCAACTGTTTCAAATAATTTTATAGGAAATCAAAAATTAGTAGGTTTGCAACAAACTGACTTGGATCTTCTTTTCCAATCAATATACAAAAATTTATCACTACTAATAATACTGAAAGATTTAAATTTTCATATCCTAAAATGTATTTTAGAAGTTTCAACCTAATTTTCTTCCTGCCTGAAATTAGATACATTAATGTTCTATCCATTTTACACTTGTATCAGATGCATCAAAATTGGAAACCTTTGCTACATGATACCAGTTGGATACCAGTTGGAGAGTAACATTTTTTATTCGGCTTATACCCGCATCGTGAACCAAGTTTACATGTTGCAGGTCTCTATCTTCACAACCGCTGCCTCGCTACCAAGAACTGACATCTCAACCTCCGCTGGAAGAAACTCATTGACATCTGCGCTGAATTTAAGATTACACAATACTTCAGCCAGTGTTTCTGAAGCTAATCAATATCATAGAGAAAATCAATCAGATTCCATATTTATGGACGGAATGATATTCAAAGATTATCATCTTAATGGAAACTGGTCACATTTTCTGCCTTTCGAAGGGTTAAAACCACCCTTCATTAAACTGGATGATAAGATTCACTCAACTATAAATAGTTCCACAATTTTTCTCGATTATACAGGCAATAAATTCAAGACTGAAGGCTATGAAAACATACACGGTGAAGTCAAGGTTCGATCTTCCGCAGGAAATTTTATTCCAGAGCCAAATTTCACTACTCCCTTTTCAATCGAAAATATAAATTCATCGGCAATTTTTTCGCCAGTTGATCGGGCGAGGCGACAAATGGATGGCGACTTTATAACGAAACCTTCGATAAATTCACTTAATTTGGTCTCAAGTTCGCCACAGACGACACCGAAAAGTGCAATGAATTTTTCCGAAGAGCCTCAAGGGGAAACATTTTCAGGAGATGATTCACATTACAACGACAGGGAGCAACTTAAAGTCGTGCTAGCGCGACTAGAACTTGACTGCCGACTTAAGATGCTGTCTGATCCAGAACCTGAGACTGGTGAGTGGTCCAGAACCTGAGACGGGTGAGTGATCCAGAACCTGAGACTGGTTAGTGATGCAGAACCTGAGACTGGTCATGAGTGATCCAGAACCTGAGACTGGTGAGTGATCCAGAACCTGAGACTGGTGAGTGATCCAGAACCTGAGACTGGTGAGTGATCCAGAACCTGAGACTGGTGAGTGATCCAGAACCTGAGACTGGTGAGTCAGGCAATAGTCTAGTGAAGAACAAACTTAAGAACGTAATTTGTGTACAAATGTTAAACTCTCCGGTTATAATTTAATGCATTCAGAAAATCTTGCCTATAAGTTTTGTAAAATTTATAACTAAATTCATCAAGTTTTCATGAATATAGTTAAAAATATATAACGGCACGATAACCTACCAAACAATCTTTACGATAAAAAATAATGATTGTTTCCATTTCTGAAAACTAAATTAAATATTCAGTGCCGGTAAATTGAAAAAAACCATGCGTTGCATTTGAAGTTTAAGCTGAAAACATAATAATAAAAAAACAAGAGTTTGATATATATCGATGATACAAATCAGTTGTCTCGATAATTTTACTCTAGAATCTGCAATTTTTTCATTTCCTTGTTGGTAATTTCCAGAAATCCCAGCCAATAATGCATACATAGTTCCCTAAAATATTCCGAATGCATTTCCGTTGGGATTCTGAATGTGAATGTTTGTCGGAGCTCTGCAAGCGAATAACATCAGAAATACGGGTATTTTGGATCTCAATTTCTGGTTATTTGACCGCATGAGTCCTCATTTGTAGGCATTTAAAGTTAAATTATTTTTCCTTAAAGGTTGATTTCAAAATTTTGGTGGTGCTTGATACCTGAGCTAATGTACAAGTGCATTCAAATTTATGCAAGTTTAGACCTGAACGAATGTACCAGTTTACATAAGTTGTTCTCTGAACCGGAGTATTTCATAGGCGCAAGTAATTAATTTTTTCGAAAAGCTCATGAAGGAGGTAAATTTTGTTCAAACTTATTTTTTTGGTAATCACTTTTTTTATCCCTTTAACTTTACTATTGCTAAATTTCAACTTTACAAGATAAATTTATAAGCTTTGGTATCACATGAAGAATTGGGCAAAGAATTCCGCACATTGAGTAATTGACAATTCCAAGTATATAGTTTTAATATATTACTGATACGCAGTAGAAGTATCACGGTAGCGACCGGGCCGGATTTACAACCAAGACTTTCAACGTTAATTTATTCCTCTTATAATGCCTATACTGGATTAATATATTGGCATCGATAGCTTAGTCATAAATGTCATAAATAGCTGCCACAACTGTTCATAAGTGCCAATCTTATGTTCAAAGGTGTCAATCTTCTGTTTATAAATGTAAATCATAAGTGTCAATCTTATGTTCATAAGTGACAATCATAAGTGTCAATCTTATGTTTATAAGTGTAAATCATAAGTGTCAATCTTATGTTCATAAGTGACAATCATAAGTGTCAATCTTATGTTCATAAGTGTAAATCATAAGTGTCAATCTTATGTTCATAAGTGTCAATCATAAGCGTCAATCTTATGTTCATAAGTGTCAATCATAAGTGTCAATCTTATGTTCATAAGTGTCAATCTTATATTCATAAGTGTCAATCTTATGTTCATAAGTGTCAATCATAAGTGTCAATCATAAGTGTCAATCATAAGTGTCAATCATAAGTGTCAATCATAAGTGTCAATCATAAGTGTCAATCATAAGTGTCAAACTTAATATGCCCCGCCCTGAGGGTCTAAATCTAAGTCTCCCGATGTAAGTGTACCGGCGTAAGTGCACTAGTGTAAGTGTCCGGCTATAAGTGTTCCGCAAAGTGTCTAAGCAAGCGTCCCAGCTATTGGTCTCGTATTCCGGCGTAAGTGTCCCATCATGAGTGTGTAAGTCAAAAAATTTTAAAACAAAGAAAACACCAAGCAAATTCACCATATCGATATTTAAAACGTTTCGCAGTCCAGCTCCATCATCAGTTCGAAAAACTAAAAATGAATAAAATCATATTATTATATCAAAATTCTTAGACAGACATAAAACCTAAACAAGACCTGACATTATATAAAAAAAACAGGACTCGAAGTGTGTATACAGGAGTGTGTAAGTGTCCCGTGTTGTCCCGTAGGTTGTGTCCGCATCTGGGACCAGGCTCTGTGCTGGGACCCCGCCCCCCCAAACAGCACCTCCCGTCAGCCCTGCCCCCCCTACATCGTGGGCATGGAGAACGAGGGGGTGAGCGAAATTATCCACTCTTGCGTTTTAAGGCAACTTGCCGGAAATTTTCATCAATTTCTTTAAAAAATAATATTATTGATGGCGAAATAAAATTGGTTTCACACACTTTTCATCAACAGCAACACAACCCTATGCAGTGCTCAAATATTCAATGAACAACAATAACCGTGTTAACTTTACCATGATATTAGCTGCCATGCCCAGGTAAATTGGATGTTGCTGATAGATGAAATGTTATTTTGAATGTTTTAGCTCGTAACCAGACGATGTCATACTGCTTTTTAAGAAAGCTACATCGATAATTAAGTTATACGGCATTAAAAATACAAAAACGGTTAAAACATTGAATTAATCAATGACATTATGTTGGTTAAGTTGCATATAGTTTATGCCAGGACAGTAGCGGCAGCCATTGCAACTTTCAAAAACTAAGCGCTACTGTTTACTATTACTATTTACTTTTACTTTTTAATATTACTATTTACTATTACTATTTACTATTTACTGTTACTATTTATTATTACTATGTACTATTACACTATTAGCCTCGTGTATAGGCACTACTGGCCACGGAAAAACCCAGTAACCCTCTACACGAGGCCAGTAGCCCGGTAATTAGTGGCGGTAAGTACCCAAAAGAGGCACTGGCCGCCACTACTGGCCGAGTGTACAAGCACATTTAGTTGTCCATTAACTGAAAAGTTCCTTTTTACTCAGGGTTACGCCTTCAAAAAATGCGAGTTTGATGGACGCTGGGGGACCAAACCACCCATCACGTCCAATCTAGACGTCGTCTCGTCGTCCCCTCTAGACGTCGTCTCGTCGTCCCCTCTTGACGTCGTATCGTCGTCCCCTCTTGACGTCGTTTCATCGTCCCCTCTAGACGTCGTCTCGTCGTCCCCTTTTGATGGAGTCGAAAAAATGAACGCGTCCCAGGTCGTCAACGTCTCAGCGGGGAACATCATAAGGGACGACGCCCGTCCTTTCTTTATGGACGGCGGCGTCCAGGAGAACCGTCAGGTGGACGCCAGGAGGACGACGGGACGCTACGATGTCGGCTGGACGGATTACTCGCAATGCCTGCGCCGCACCGAGGACGATGATGACGATCTTTCCCTCATTATGGTGATGATACAAAATTTATTGCTTATAAAAATGTATTAAAGGCCAGAAATTCATTGGGATAAACGTTGATTTAGATGTAAAAAATTATTAAGTGCTGATCATGTGTTGGTTATTTTGCATTTATTTAGAACCAAAAATTTATTGTGTAGAACTTGTATTGAGATTCGAGCACTAATTGAATGATAACTACTAACTGGGTGTCAAACATTTACTGGGACCAAACATCAAGTGAGAGACGAAAAAGTAAAAAAAAAAAGAAATCGAAAGAACATCAAAATCTTACTTGTGCATCGTGTCGTAGCATCAGTCTTTGTTTTTCCCCACGTGATATCCCAGCACTGATGAACTGATAAGTGTAATAATAATTTTTTTTTCACGTACACCTCTGAAGATGAAAAACACGAGGCCGATGCAAATGGCACTTTATGATTGCAGCATGTAGGCAGTGTATGATATCGAAAGTCGCATATACACTGTATAATTACCGTTGCAAGCTGCACCTTCATGCTTAAGAATAAATCATAAAATTCATCCCTAAAATCACCTAATTAAATCGTCTCAATTTTCAATTTTTTTTTATTTTTCTTTAATTAACTTCGTGAATGACTGATTTTACCGCACAGTGAAGTTAGCTGCATTTTGAATGAAACCCACCAGCCAATAGCCAGGCGAAAAATCTACGGTGTTTAGTTTTAGTTTTCATTAAGTGTAAAGTCAATTTATTTAGATTTTAGGTCATCCAAGTTAGAAATATTATTATTATTATTGTCGAAATTTCACTAGAGAAAATCGACTTGTACAAGTTGAATTCAACTTGAACTATCAGTAGGCGCGTGCACTAGAAACTATACGATGCTTTAAAGTATTTTTCGTATTGTTGTAGAAATTACCTCTGAGGTTCAAATTAGCAAAATATTAAATCAGGGATACATAAGTAAAGATAATGAAGAAAAACAGGGTTGTTATAAACTGCATAATGTGAGTATATGTCACTTTTAGCTTTTTGAATTATCTTAAATTTGATAGTTCATAGTTCAATTTGATCATTTTTGAGTCTAATATGAATACTTGCTAAACTTTTGATCGCGTATCATAAATCCCACAATTTCAGGGTTGTGAGATTAAAGTTTGTAACCTTTCTTTTTTATGCTAAAATTCAGCAGCTGAAAACCAGAAATGTGCTTGAATGAAATCTTCTGACCATAAATGCCACAGGAATTACATGTCGAAACATAATACGTTGGATAGCATAATAGATTATTGTTTATGATCATCAATTATAATATGTATGATCATCAGATATTAGCGACTATCATTTTTTATAATTAGCTACAATTAATTACAATGCGTGATATCCACATATTAAGGATGATCAAAGAATATAATAATTGAAATTAGAAGAATTTTCTTGTTGAGTTCGAAACTCAATGAGTAAGCTTAATATTTACATTATATATTATCGAGCGAAAGTTCCTTTTCCTTAGTTCCTTTTTTTCGAAAGTTCCTTATAGACGAAAGTTCCTTTTCGTCTATAGTAACAGTAATGTTAACTATCATATATAGAATAGTGAGAATTGGCCAGTACACTATTACCCACCTACTACCTAATATAATAATTGATTTTAACAAATGTATATATTTGTTATATTGATAAATTTTGTGAATCAATTAAAATTCACGCAAGAAAGTGAATGAACATATGTCGCCTGAATCGTATTCATTAACTGTATGTTATCAATCACCATATATAATGTAATAAAAAACTTTACCAACACGAATGTAGAATGCAATTATTTCGATCTCAGCAAAACTTCAATCACTAAAAGTGAAATTTTTTCTATGTTTTCGTCAAAAATTTCAGTGTGACTCCTCGTTCAATCTTCAAGTAAATTTCAAATGAATAAATTATTTAAGAAGCGTCTTCTTTCATTATTGAGTAATTTAATTTGTGACTTTTTTCCAGGCCTGGCTGCCTTTTTTGAAGAAAACGTCTCTGATTGGCTACAGCATTTCACTCATCACACTCACCATTTCATTCATCATCTTAGCGGCTCTCACGTGAGTAATAACATTAATTGAAAACTGTATGTCAAGTAGGAGAAAATAATTAAATAATATTTTAAAATCTTTTCAGAAATACATTTTTACTATTTCATTTCATTTCAAATCACGATAATGTCATGACAAGCTAACCATGGATTATATTTATGACCATGGATCATAATTTGTTATCTAATTTTGTATACAAGGCCGAAACCTACCTGTGTGGTTTTTTTCAATATTCCTTCTTTCGATTTTCACAATAAAACCAGTTTATCGGAAGCGATAGTTTTTCTAATAGAATTAGGGTAAATCTAACCGTTTGACCCGCCGCAGCAACGGCATTATTCTCCAGCTGTTACTTACGTTTTTAGATATGTAAATAATGTGTTATTATTTATGTTATTATATATTTTATCCATTTGTTCAAAAAATCCTTCGGGGTGCAGGAATCTGCGCTGTCTGCGCAACGTACTTCACCTTCACCTCTTCACTAAGAAAACCGTTTACTTCACTGCAGCAACGACACGATTCTCCAGCTGATATTTATATATGTAACTATATATGTTATTTATATATTACTATAAATTTATTTAATACATATACATCGATAACAAATCCTGCGTCCAGGAAGCTGCGGTGTCCACGCAACATGCTTCACCTCCACCTGTTCGCATCCTTCATCCTGCGCGCCGCTGTGGTGCTGCTGCGGTCCTCTGTGCTGTCGTCATCGATGCTCACCCCGTCACCCACACAGACCACCACCGCCAACCTCAACCCCGTGGTGAGTATAACAATACCAGGTGGTGAGTAAAACCATACCAGGTGGTGAGTAAAAACATACCAGGTGGTGAGTAAAAGTAAAACCATACCAGGTGGTGAGTAAAGCAATACCAGATGGTGAGTAAACCATACCAGGTGGTGAGTAAAACCATACCAGTATACCAGGCGGTGAGTAAAACATACAAGGTGGTGAGTAAACCATACCATGTGGTGAGCAAAACCATGCCAGGTGGTGAGTAAAACCATACCAGGTGGTGAGCAAAACCATACCAGGTGGTGAGTAAAACCATGCCAGGTGGTGAGCAAACCATGCCAGGTGGTGAGTAAAACCATACCATGTGGTGAGCAAAACCATGCCAGGTGGTGAGTAAAACCATGCCAGGTGGTGAGTCAAACTATACCAGGTGGTGAGTAAAAACATACCAGGTGGTGAGTAAAAACATACCAGGTAGTGAGTAAAAACATAACAGGTGGTGAGTAAAACTATACCAGGTGGTGAGTAAAACCATACCAGGTGGTGAGTAAAACCATATCACAAAGATTTTTCTACCTTCTTGGGTTTGAAGTAAAATTTAATTTCGAACAAATTCATAAAATTACCATCGTATTCTATTTTACTAGCTGAGATTTTTACTATTTTACGATTTTTATAAGGAAGTCGTTTTCAACTCTGTATTGAATATCAATAAAACGAATAGCGTACGAGAATAACATTAGAAAGTTTTCATTTAGGCGTTCACAGATAAAACCTGTAACTATATTGTACATCAGCAATTATTATAAAATAAAAAACAAAAAAGGGACACAAATACTTAGTTCCATCAAATGACGCATTTATCAAAAGTTATCCTGGTGAGTGCTTCTAGTTATTCTGGAAGCCTAGTTTCTAGTATGCAAGTTTCTGAATCGTCTATAATGAAACTAGAAAAACACATTGACAGTTGGGTGAGATGTTCGCTGCATCGTTGGCTAAACCGTTGGATAAACCGTTGGTGAACCGTTTGCTGAACCTTTAGATGACCCATTTGGTGAACCGTTTGCTGAACCTTTGGGCGCTAAACCGTTAGACAAATCGTTTGGTTACCGTTCGATAAGCCGTTGGATGAATCCTGAGGTAAATCGTTTAGTAAACCGTTAGATGAACCGTTGGGTGACCCGTTTGCTAAACCGTTAGATGAACCGTTCGTTGAATCGTAAGAAACACCATTTCCTGAACCGTTAGGTGAACCGTTAGATGAATCGCTGGGTGAACCGTTTGCTGAACCGTTGGATGAAAAGCTTGCTGAACCGTGACACGAATCGATCTCATCTGAGGCGCGGACCACGGAAAAGATGGATTTTACGGTCCGAATATGCGCCTCCAGGCGGCCATAAAATCGGGTTTTCTCCTTTTGATGATGCCAAGTAAACTGCGGCTTTCTGTGGCTATATATTTCCTTAAGCCAATACATTAGAACCCTATGATACTTTTCATTTATTTTTTCAACACTGATATACCATCTCCGAAATATAATGCAATGAAATTAAAAATAACGAATAAATAAGATTTGAGTTACAATTTGTATAATGTAAACAATTATGATTAATATTTTACAAATGTGAAAGCATGAATTGTAAAAGAAACGGTTGTAAATAACTCGTTCAAAATGAATAAATATTTTACCAAATATTCTATACCCAAATTCTGTTTAAATTGCGCGTAGAGATAAATTATTTTTTATTCCATGCAAGAACTTTTATGTCAAAATCCAAATTTCAACGATAAATATAGTCAGAACATAAACCCCATTTAACAGAAACAATTAATTCGATGCTTTTACGGTACTTAAGAGATTTCTCAAGGATTTTACAGGAGGGGATTTATTTCGGCATTCAAGTCAATAAATCCCTGAATAAATATAGGGTCCGCCTCACCTTGATGCCTCAACGATAAATCCGGCGAACGCATTAAGCGCCCGCGCCAATAAATAGTTTTAAAAAAAGGAAAATAAAAGAACAGGAAAAGGAAAATGGAAATTGTGAGAGTTTCCCCGAGCCATGAACGCTTGGCGGAAAATCGGGTTTAAGCGCAAGGCTGTATCAGTAACATTAATAATCATAATATAATAATAATTCGGTATTTATTAATAATGATTATAGATTGCTAATCTACGATTAGTTATGTCGTTAGTATCTGGTACATGAATAATAAAATAATAATTCGGTATTTATTAATAATGATTATAGATCGTTAATCTAAAATTAGTTATGTCGTTATATTCGTTATGTTGGGTTCTGTCTATTGTATAGAACGACACGTGGTGGTGCCGGCTGGTGATCTCCATATGGCAGTACTTCATCACCGCGAATTACTCATGGATCCTGATGGAGGGACTGTATCTGCACAACCTCATCTTCAGGGCGCTCTTCACGGACTCTTCCGCCATCACACTCTACATCGTCCTGGGATGGGGTTAGACGAAATAATAATAATTACAATAAATGTAGTAATTTTTAATACATAAATTTGTAAATTAATTAATAATTAATATATTAATGAGATATACGTAAATTAATAAATTAATTAATAAAATTCACCTTCCAGAATTTGTTAGCATTATTTTTTTTCTTTGAAACTGCAACAATTCATTTAGTCTTTGATGAATCTCTTTATATTAATTTAATTTTTTGAGATTTTTTGTAATAAAACAGCTTTTTATCTATTAACTCCTTTGAGTTTTCGATTTTTATTAAATATAATTTAGTTTCCAGTATGAATTTTAATTTTTTACAATTATATTTTAAACTTCATTTTAAATTTTTATTTTTAATTTTATTTTAAATTTTATTTATTAAAATTTTAATTTAATTAAAATTTGATGTCCAGGTCTACCGCTGGTGCTAGTTGGCAGCTGGGCCTGCGTAAGGGCCGCCATCGATGACTCACATTGCTGGATGCTACATAAAAAATCCTGGATTTTTCTGGTGCTCATAAGAATACCTGTGGCTTTCTCTGTGTTCCTCAACTTTTTCTTCTTCATCAACATCGTGCGAGTGCTCACGCTCAAACTGCGCTCTTCAGTCTCGGATGAGAACATGAAATACAGGTTTTTATTAATAGCTTAGGTAATAATATAATTAATTATTAATATAACTAATTATATAATTATATTAATGATAATATTAGCTAAGGTCAGTAATATTATTATTTGCTACAGGTCATTATCACTAATGAAGCTAAGTCTATTAATATAATTATTTGCTACAGTTAATTAATAATAAAATTTGCTTCAGGTAATTTTTATCAATATTAGCTACAGTTCATTGATATTGAAATTCGCTGCAGATTATAAATATTAATGTTTACTAAAGAGCATTAATATTAATATTATCTGGAGTTAATAATATTGATATTTACTAGAAATAATTATTACTAATATTAAATGCAGGTCATAAATAGTTTAGAATCCAGTCACAAATTATCCTTCTTTAGTGTTGATTAAATTAATAAAAGTCTTATAAATAAGTAAAGCTTTAAAATTGATTCAAAGCCGATTAAAGAATCATAGTCGGGTGTTAAATTGATTTACAATATTTCTTTATGCAATATACGCAATATTTTTTTACTCAATATACGCAATATTTCTTTACGCAATACACGAAATATTTCTTTCTGGATACAGGAAATACGCAAAATTCTATTACGCAATATACGCAATATTTCTTTACTCAATATACGCAATATTTCTTTACGCAATATACAAAATATTTTTTTACGCAATATACGAAATATTTCTGTACGCAATATACGCAATATTTATTTACACAGAACTCGCCGATCACTATTTGAAGGTCTATAAACGCGGCTTGCTCAGTGCCTAAATAAATAAACGCATTCGTTTCAATGCAAAAATTTAAATAACATAATTTTTTTTCAACAATGGTGCAATAAAACTCTTTTGTACAGGAAGCTGGCGAAGTCGACGCTCGTGCTTGTGCCGCTGTTCGGGGTGCACTACTGCCTGCTCTGGGGCCTGTCTACCTTCAAGCATCCAACCGTCGAACTCGCGTGGCTAATAATGGATCAGGTCTTCGCATCTTTTCAGGTATAATATATGAAACACTATAAAAATAGAGGAATAAGGTCACTTTGAATGATATAAATATAGAAATAAACTCGATATACATGTATGAAACAATATATAAATAGAGGAATAAGGTCACTTTTAATTATATAAATATAGAAATAAATTCGATATTTTGTGCATTTCACTGTTTGCCTGACCGAAGAACCGGTGAGGTTAATGAAAGATCAATTTTTTATCTTTTTACAGGTATATGACGCCTAACAATATGAATTTTATTCGCCTCTCTTTACTAGGAAAAAATTTTACTATTATGCATAGTATATAATATAATAGTATTTTCAATATTTTGTGCATTTCGATTTTCCCCCCTTCAGCTATGTGACAAATATCTAAGCATTATAAATTTAGAAATAAATGCAGTATTTTGTACATTTTGATGTTTGCTAATTTTCAGGTAAGTAAAGCTTCTTTAAACAATATAAAAAATATTAAAATATTTGCAATATTTTTGCACTTACGTAGGTGCTCGGCGGCTTTCAAATATGTGACGGATATTTGTAAAATATTTTGTTCATGTTGATGTTCGCCTTCATTTACATATACGACGACTATTCCATATTATTTTGTAGAATCCAATGCATAGAAATGGCTAGATGTTTACATGTATTACAAAAACACTGGTAGATTCTCTTGGAATTATAAAAAATGAGCTTCTCTGGGTGATTATTTTTTCGCACTTTAACGATACAAAACAACTTAAAAGAAAAAGTTTCTTAGAAGTCCCTCAATACAATTTTTTCAATATAATTCTCGATTTATTTTCAGCATACTAACGCAGTTCTTGACTTAACTCTCGTATACTCCAGTGGAACAAGGAAGATATTAATGAAGAAATATCTAGGGACAAATGATATTAACATTGTCACCTTACAGATTGCATTTCAATAACAAAGTAATTAAAGATGAAATAATCCTGATTTTGGGGCTTTATTAATTCATGATTTAATATTATAACTTAATCATAGTTATTAAGTTAACAATTATTGCAGGGATTCTTCGTAGCTCTACTTTACTGCCTGATGAACGGCGAAGTGCGTCAGGAGCTGAAGAAAATGTACCACAGCAGATTTGGCGGCGGAGAACATACACTCTTCACCGGCCAGTCCACCATGGTGTCTCATACCAGGGTATATACCAGGTAAAAAAGTGTGGAATAATGTATGAAATGCCAGGTGTGTCTCATACCAGGGTATATACCAGGTCTAACAGTGTGGAATAATGTATGAAATACCAGGTGTGTCTCATTCCAGGGTATATACCAGGTACAGTAATTTAATGTAAAATTAGCAATACCAATATGAGTGCCTCATACCAGGGTATATACCAGGTAAAGTAATTTGATGTAAAATTAACAATATCAATACGAGTGCCCATACCAGGGTATATACCCGGTACAGTAATGTGTAATAACAGATGCAAAGAATACCGATCTACCAGGTAAGCCCCATACCAGGGGGTATATATCAGTATTGAATGCCCTATTTATATAATACATAGATATGCGAAACAACTATTTATTCTTCAACGTAACCAATTCAAAATCGTCCATTAGATCTCTCAGCTCTAGCTTTGTACATCAGCACGGAATTTGGAAATGCGGAAAAGGCAACTTCATGCGACAAATTATTATTCATTTCTTTGAATCATTACTCATTTTGCATCACTACTATTTAACCTACGTGCCAACTGCCTTCAAGAACCAGGACTTTTTTCGGACTTTTAAGAAGGAAAATTTTATTTCAAGCAGCATCATTTCTGAATAGAACGCGTTAAAGTATTTCCTAATACTCTTGCCTTCACTCACGAAAATCTCGTATAATAAACTAACAGTACAGTATTTTACGTGCTCCACTACAAATATGTATAAATTTAATCACTAATTTCAATTAAGCAGTATTATTTTCATCAAAACTGTGAGAGCATTCACAAAAGTTATACGTCATGAATATTATAATAAAATGAAATATTATAGTCCAGCTCAATAGGAGTCCTGAGTACCAACTCTGCAATTGCAGGAGAATTTGGAATTAGCAATCACTTCAATAAAAGAAATTTTGTTGGAGAAAAATTATATTAATTTAGCAAGTGATAATCAGTTACATCAGATATGAATCAATTTAAAAATAACACAATTTAAGCTATACTGACGCTCAGACAAACAGTGCAAATTTCCTAAATTTTTGCTCGTCATTTAGCGCAGTTTATATCTCATATATGTACATCTTAAAGCAACATGAAATAATCTAAAACTCATGTCAAAAAATCATTACTACATATAAACTAAATTAAATTGTCTATAAACTACTAAGTTCCAATTTGATCACTTTCTATGAACAAAAGTTTTGTGTAAATTAATTTTCTTTCAATTGCATCCACTCACGTTCATGCTGCAGAAAGGGGCTTATCTTGTATCAGGAACAGTAAAATTATTTGAAAATAATATTAATTATGCATTGGTAAATCATCAACTAAAGGTGATCTCACCAATTAAAAATTATTATTACTATGCTTGAAATGTAAATAATATTTGTTATACATATGCGCTAGAAGACGACATAATTTCTATCACTTTTCATCATTGAAATAAATGTATGATTCCAAATAAGATATGTTTATATCTTGACAATGTTATATGAATTGTCTAATATTTATCTAAAATGATAAGTACGACAGACCATGCAACGTTTCTCTCAAGAGTATAGCAGTTCTTTCCACCAAATCATCCCAGCCAATTCTCTCATGATGATACTCAAAAATCTCTTTTATAACTGAGTTGTCTGGTTCAACGTTAATACACTTAAATATATCAAGAATCTTGCTTTCTAATGTGGCTGATTCTTGTTCGATTTCTACCAGCTTGGCAACTAAACGGGATTTTACATCTTGTGGAGCTCCTTCAGTAATAGAAAAGTCGAGCAAGCTTCTGTTAATCCAATAGTTAAGTTTGATGATGAAGTTGTATAATTTTTGAACTGCCTTAGCATTTAATTGGCTTGCTGTTTCTATGGTCGAGTTTAAAATTTGTTGAAGGTATGAGAGATCTTCGTGTAAATTCGCTAGCAGGAGGGGCGCTGTCACATCTTCTTGGTGTGAAATCAAACTTAAAACGCTTGCCCAACTTGTGTTGTAAAATAGCTGGGCCTGAAAAAAATATAATTCGATTTGTTTAGTTTCTTAATCATTGGCATTTTTATATAGCTCAAACTTTCCTAAATTCAGCGTAAAAACCTCAGTTGTTAAACGAAATTGACTTATCTGCAAGCTGTTCTTCAATTATAAACAAATTTTATATTCGACCTATAATACAATACCTATGATACTCACGAATAGATTGGCGAACGAAATAATTTTTTCTTTCATCCGAAAGATTACCAAACTCGCAGGAACTATGTCAGTATTCCAGCAATTCGAAGTCCCCGACCGGTGTCCCTCGTCTGAAAATTCACTGTTCCTATAGTGAATGTCGGACTTTTTTAAGTTGAACTTAGCCATGTCCGATTCCATTTTGTTAATATTTTCAAACATCGAAAAAGCGTCAAAATCATTATTAAGGTCTACATTACTCCTCTTATCTTCCGCCATCTTGGCCACATCAGGAAGAAGCGTAGACTCGGCAGCTCGAGGTTGTCCCCGCGAAATTTGATCAATAAAGGCTTCATTTTCGTTGCTCGTTTCAAATTTCGACACATCATTTGACGCAAAAGACGCCGAGTCCGAAATTCTAGACCCTTGTCGCACTGGCTGCAAGTTCCAAACACTTTTTATGTCTTTAACTCGATTGTTTGAGATGGGGCTGTGAAGGAAATTAGCTGCTGACTCGTCCTCTCCGTCGTAATGGTCGAAATTGAAGATATTATTTTCATCTCGTGAGTCAAAATGTGATAATTGATGCTGGGCACGATTTTTCCCCTCTTTCTTCGCATATGCACCCACAATACTGACTGCTGTGATCAAAATGAGTACCCAGTGGATGCTGGTTATCATATTGTTCGATAAGATCTTCTTAGATATTTTCGAGGACATTTTGATTAACATGCAAATACCGAATCAACAAGGAAAAGTTGTACCGTTTACTTTTTTTTGAGAAACGAAACTTTTATTTCCTCTGAACTGCTGAAATTTATACCGTGCAGCTGACAAAATGTCTTACTCACAAATTTTAAGACGAAGTCATTAATTGGTGAGCACAATCCTTAGGAACCTTAGTGTTTGCTTGTGCAAAGCAGCGGTGTACAGCTTTTATAGGCGATTTTTGACCAAATCGTTCTGACCGGTCCATAACGAACGTCGTTTCCGTTTCGTTCTCGTTTGAGTGCGTGAAGCGATAATTATCTCAATCACGGATCCAGTTTTTACACGTTTTCAGAGAAACTTCCAGAAAATGAAGATGAGTTTAAATTGTTAAAAAATTAATTTTTTTATTTTGAAATCGCCAAATGAAATTCAATATTCTTAATGCTTGAACAAAATTAGGTTTATAATCAAAAATAAAAAAGTTTGTGTCATATGGTAAATATTCATATAAAGGAAAACTTTGACCTTTATTTTAATCGAATGTTGATTTTATACCGATTTAGCTGAGGAGTTAAAACGCATGAAAATGTAAATTCAAATCACACGATGCTTGTAGTTTTACTGTTTGTTTCCAGAATACTTATCGTGTCTGGGCATTACCTGGGCTTGAAAATTCATTTTTTTGAAGGTATTGTAAGATATTTTAAAAAATTTAAGAGAGGAAAATTGGATTGTGAAATGAAAATAATTAATTCAACTGCAAAATGTGAATTTTTTCACCATTACAAATTAAAGTTGCCTTCAAGATTCAAAACGAGAGTGAAGTGAAACTTTTTTTTTTAAAGTTGCTTGAATCTGGCCTTTCATAAATTAAATTGCATTAACTGTAGAATTATCGACAGGATAATTGTCGCTATGTTGAGCCGCATGCTGTGCAAAAAGTCATTCGTTCATTTTTGGACTTATGTTCAACCGAACTTATCCAAATTAATTCAAGCTAATCAACTCTTAAAATTATTTATACAATTACATTTTTTAAATTGAGAACTATTCAATATTATTTGTTTAATCTACCTTTAAGGCGAGTAGTTATTCAACACCACAACCTTTAATGCCCTTTAAGCCTTTCTTAAACAAGACACATTTCAACAGGACCGATTTTCTTGATGATTCTCTGATTTTATATTTATAAAATATAATAAAAAACACGCTCTACATCATGTATGCAAGTCATCTAAGTTGAGTACACATTTAGGCTGTTGACTGATTCTTAGGGAGTGACAACATGAATTTCACTTTTTACTTCATGGAATTTTTTTAACAATTAGGCTGCATTGTATGAAGGTCGTTAGTCCAAACGATCGCAGGACGTACGTACGTGATACGTTAACGATGCCCTCAATTAATCTGATAAGGAGATGAGTCATATGATCTTTTCACAAGATGTCATCCTATATGATATCCTTAGTACCGGGAAAACCATGCAAACATTTTTTCGTTTAGACTCCCTGCACGTATTAGGTCAAAATCAATAACGCATTGAAAATTTATATTGCATGTAAAAATGTCATATAAATGAACTATGTAAATTTATTTCTAAAATAAATTTCAAATTTTAAAATTGTAAAAATGAAATTTCTAAAATAATTCTTGGCGTCCATTTGATGAAACCTTTTTGACCTTTTCCATTTTTATTGTAAGTTCTTGAAGCATCTTTAAATATGAAAGCGAATGCATCTAACCTTAGATGCATTCGCTTTCATATTTAAAGATGCTTTAAAAACTTACAATAAAAATTGAAAAGGTCAAAAAGATTTTTTCAAATGGACACCAAGAATTATTTTAGAAATTTCATTATTCAAATAATTGAAGTGACAAATGATTCCCAAAATTAAATTGGACTCAATATTATAAAATTAATTGCCATCTCTGAACTTCGTCATGGTATTACCGTTGAGCTTCGGTGTCTTATTTAATATTTGAAGGTATTCAATTTAAAAAGTTATTGAACGCGTGGATATGTTTCGTTATTCATGAATATTTTAAATGAATCACCCTAATGTAAATTGAAACCCGTGTAGGGTGAAATTTGAGTGCTGCTTTCTAAATAAAAATTCGGACAATTCAGAAAATTTTGCATTTAGTTACTCTAATCAATGGGTATTTTCTAAAAATGAAGACCTCATAACAGAAATCAAGCGAAGAATTTCAGAGATTATGAAGGTTATGGGGGAGTCTATAGGAGGAATTTTAATTTGAAAGCAAATAACCAAATGAGATTTGAACGAAATTACAAGAACCATTTATTAAGTATCGAAACTTTATGTAAATAAATAAATTACAAAATAGCTGACAAGCAGTAAAATCGAAAAATTATGTGGATCATTGGCTGCTCATAATTTCACGTGCATTTATGAAAATTCAAGAAGCTGTTTTAATTCGAAGTTTAAGACGACAAATCTTCCTCTTTTTGTGTTGGTGATTGAAGGAAACATAATATTGTCGTTAAAGATGACTTCGGAAACCAATTATAAAAGATGACATTGTGATTTATTCTAAATTTTCGAACAATCTATTGCAATTGATGTAGTTTCTTACCAATCACTTACCTCTTGAAATTTTTTTAATTAACTATTCCTAAAAAAATTAAAATTCATCATCTTCACTAATTTAAGTATTTTATTTCATTCAATTAAACATGAAATTGAAAATAATTCGTTTAGAGGAGCAGTGTATATTTTTTAGATTTTATTCACAAATTCCCTCGAAGGAATGAACAATATTTTGTCCATATAGCGATGCTCTTTCGTACATTTATGTGGGTCATCCTGACCCAGTTTAGTCCGGCAAAAAGGCAAATCGGTGGTACATGCATAAAGTGTCACTATTTGGACAATATGACCTGATTATTTTTCTTTTCGATTGAACGTTCACTAAAAACTGCAATAGTTTGGATCTATTTTAGCGGGATCCGCAGCATTTTTCCTAAAATCCCTTACATACGAAGAAATTTATTGATTTTCTTGGCTTTTTAACTATATGCACAATAATGCGTCAACAAGTGGACAGAAAAAAGTTCAAAGCGAACGCGATTAATTGTTTTATAAAAAATTGTGCTTATAAATATTTAATTTTTTCTGAACTTTTATTAGTGTAAGTGAAATCAACTGCCTTTGTACCATTAATCAACCCAAATTATCTTCACACATTCTTATACCAGAGAAAATGTACAAAAAGGCCATACTAGCATTTTCAGGAAAATATTTTGCATATTTATTATTTAAAAAATTTTTTTGAGAGGCCATCAAGACCGGTGAGTTTGATAGAATATTTTTCATCTACCAAACTTTTTCACCTCCCTTCGAACTCTGCTAGTGAAATTTGAAAAAAGGCACTTTGATTTTTGAATGATTTTAAATTTAATATTAATTACGAGATTAATGCATTTTCTTCTCCTGCTATTTGCAAATTTAAATATGTTTTGTACTTTTTCTCAATTATTGTCGTAGATTTTTAATTGTCGAATACTTAATGTTAGTGAAATTCCAGGCAAGTAATCTCTGCTTGTTAACTTAATTAATTCTCCTTATCCCTCAATTAAATCTCTGCTTGTAGATTTAGTTGAATCTAGTAATCTCTAAATTAAATCTTTGCTTGTACATTAAAAAATTACCAACTCCCTAATTTATTCCTCTCCCTAATTTGCTTTCTTTTTAGTCTACTAAAATTCGAATAAAATACCAACTAATCTAAATAAAAAACCTAGTAATTATAATCGAGAGTTGCAACTTGCAGAGTTGCATCAAAATATTACAAACTTAGGGCGGTACTTTAATTTTGAGTGCGCAAATTACTTAATTATAATTGATAAATTATCCTCTTTGCAAAAAAATGGATAAATTGATAATGATAATCATGGGTTAATCAGGGTCATTTGATAATCACGCAATTGGGAAATCAGTGTCAATCGTTAATGTTAATATCACTTAATAGAGGGAGAATCATGTTCATTTTGTAATCACGTATCGAGAAAGTGCTTTAATTTGAAATATATCCAGCAGCTCATTTGAGTGGTGGTTGCTAAATACATAATTGTTGTAGCCTATTTCAACAAAGAGACCCAATTTGAGATCTTGGCCTCAAATTTAAATTATTTATTCCCATTGATGTATTTGATTATTTTAATAGCAGTTTCAAAATTCTCATTGTTTCCCTCTGTAATCTTCCCCTTGTATTATAGATTATGTATTAATAACTTAGCCAATTATTTTTTGCTTGTAGAATAGCATTAATTTTTCAGAATGTTTACAATTGCTTCTTATGAAGGCTCATTTTTTTACAAACAATTATGGCATGGAGTGTACAGAGAAAGCCGATAATTATTTATCCTCATTTATTATTGTTTTATGTCTTGGTTCGTTCTTTTGTTTCAGTTGGTGGGCGAAGATACGGGCTCGGATCTTGCTGTGCTGGTAAAAACAAGGGTGGCTTCATTAAAATATATTTCAAATTTCAGTTAAATAACGCTTTGTTGTAAATTTTCAGCTCCTTCGTTGAAATTTTCTTTCCTTAAACAATGGTCATTTACAATAACAGAAAACAATAATAATTATAAGTTAAAATTCGATCAAGTTTTGAAAATGATTATATTATGTTATAATTCTTGCAACTTTCTTCCCTATATTTTCCTGCTACCCCATCCCCAAAACCTGCACAATCGTCCAAAATGCTAAATAAGCTTTAATTGTTTATTTCAATAATTGTTGTTGTTATTATTATCATTATTATTATTATTATTATTATTATTATTATTATTATTATTATTATTATTATTTATTACTATCAATTAATTAAATTGTAGGATTTGTTTCAATTATGTATTATAATTTGTTAGAACTGTAATTATGATTTAAACCGCACATGTAACTAGAGCTGATCGACATCCTGGTCGTTTGAATTGAGAATAATATAAATATAAGTCAATAATATATTTATTTTCAACAAAATTACAAGATATAGGGTACTCTGATTTTCTATAAATCTATAAGCATCTTGCAATCATAATTTACCATGACTATAGTCATTCAAGACCTTATCATGACTATTTCTAATCATAACTTATCATGACGGAGTTTCGATGGCCCTCCCAGGGTTCGTTATATACTTAATTGTAGATACCGTGACACCATTACCATTACGCAATAATTTCTAACTAACCAAAACATGGGTTTTGTTTCATTTTCAGCTACAGGATTCTAATATGCCTACCAGGGTTCGTTATATACGTAATTGTAGATACAGTGACACCATTGCCATGATTTCCAACAAACCCAAACATGGGTTCTTGTTTCATTTTCAGTTACAGGATTCCAACATATCATTAATATAATCAGCATAATCCTTACCCATGCACTAATTTTATCTGCATGAAATTCGTATAAATCTAATCCGCAAAATATGCAATATTAGAACCTGTATTCAAATACATTTTTTATATAACTTTTAAACAATTCATTAGATAGTGATGTGTTAAGGTTTATTACGTTTATAAACAATTTTATGGTCAAAGTAGCGCTACGGTTTTTTTCAAATTTTCCACGGTTTTGATAACAAAGAAATGCCATGAAAATTAAAAATGTTTTCAATAAACACATTCAGTGAATCTGGTCCAGATAAGAGTATGCTAAACACTTTAAAGTTTATTTAAATTTGATTAAGTTACTTTTATTATTACAATATCTTCCTCGATCACGTTTGAACTTCAGGGTTTAAATGTTATTCTTGACATTCAGTTACTAGAACCTGACACGCTGCGACCTGCAAGACAACAAGATTATTATAAAAATGTACAGAGAGATATTCTATCGTTTAGTCTTTCATTCAATCTTTAATAATCCTCTGTTGCGTTTGTTTCTGCGTCTTCGCTGTTATTTTTCTTGTTATATATATGTTCCATGCAGCTTGTCTTTTTTCCGCACAATTGCACTTAATCTATCGTACTTCAACTCTGAAGAAATCAAAACTAATACTAGTTGTACTATGAGTACTATAATGTACTTATAGTTCATGAACATAGTTCATCATTACATTAAACACTCATCAATATGATTGAGTCATATGGTCCATTAGTGACATTTATTTCCTGCAACAATGATGCACCCTTTGCCGGATAAAACTGGATAACCCACATGAGCTTTATGGCATGAGGAGCTTTATGGTCTCCTTTTTTTATGGTATTTTAGGATTAAAATACACTTATCATTGTTCTGCTGGTGCATCTTAGTTAATAGAATAATTACCGCACCGCCGTTGGCATTGTAGTTTATATTAACATTGGCTATTTTCGACAGCCGTCCTACCAGGACTTCGATCCATTCGATCCACTCCATGACGGATCGCAAGGATCGGCAATCTCCATCGCCCAAGATGCCACAAAGATCCGCCGATGTGACATGTGGCAAATGTGGCAACAGCTGCGAAGCCAATTGTGGCAGCGACTGCCGCCGATGTGGCGAGGTGGCCATACTCGTCTGCGCCACAGCTCCAAGTTATTCGCAACAGCGGCGATCTCAGGTTGGCGATCCTGGAAACCTTGTCTTTTCTCTCCGTAATTACAAGTATTTTTTGAAAATTTCAAGTGAAAATTTTTTTCACTTGACAAAAATTTTTTGATGCCTGCAGATAGTTGTACGATTTCATGAACTGAGATATCTTTTTGCAATTCAACCAGAAATGGTTGACGTTCACGAAAACCTTCATTTTTTATATTTGAATAGAATAATCATTGTGCGAGTAAACAATAGAGTTTTTATTTATACGCACCGGTATTATTTTTATTTTAATGACCGAAAATTTATTTTTCAATTCAATGAGAAAAAATTCACATTTTAGTGAGTTATTTAGAATACCTTCGTCTTTTATAATGGACAAGCAAATATCTATAAACCGTTGTCTATACATAGTTTCCTTTAAATATAATTGAATGAAGAACTCATTAATAAACAAGACTTCACGATTATTGTAGAATCCCAATCAAAGTATCAAAAAAGATAGTGAAAGTATGATATACCTTAGAATCCAAAGCCTTCTTCTCAAGATATCTATTTTTCCGAAGAAAACGCGACATTAACTCAAGACTGTTTATTATTTTAAAATTTTTGTTGCACATGTGCGTTCAACAAGAGGAACTGTTTTTTTTTCACCCGAAAGGAAATTTTTATATTGAGTTTTTTTATGATACCATATATAACCTAATTTTTTTCTCAAAATCTTATTTAAACTCGATTGAAAATGTGAAAGGAAACCAATTCGAATCCAATAATGTTTCCTATTCAATAATTCGAATCCAATCCAGGAAACCAATTCTAAGAAACTTTCAAAATAATGAAGTCATTTTCTTTCACAAAAGGTATCAAAATCTTTCACAAAAGACTACCCGGATATCACACGTAACGAAAATGAAACTTTTTCATTAAGTCCCGACATGTTTTTTTGTGAAAAAAAAAATTTGTTATAAGTTCAAAATCCAGGCTAAATTAAAGGTATCTATGCTTTTTTAAATGGTTTATATAATTTGATTTCTTACATAGGTCGAAAATTTTAACCACAATTGATTGATAATCTTTGACCCGATTTTAATTAGACCTTCACATGGTTTCATTATACATTATATTTACTTATATTTTTTCTTATATTTATGCTTCAATATATTATATACTTTCATTCTACTTATATCTAACTAACTTTTCAGAAATCTGGATTGGAAGAAGAGCTTATCGAATTACAAGATCGGAATCACGTAGAAACTGCACACACGTTAGCCGCAGTGCCTCCGACATGTGATGACACTCGGAACTCGTCATGTGATGACACTCGGAACTCGTCATGTGATGAAACTTGGCACTCGGCATGTGACGGCACTCGGAATTCAACATGTGATGTCACTTGGAATCCAACTCGGGATGGCACTCGGGAATCGGCATGTGATGGCGGTCAGCACGGCTTTCAAGAGGAATTAATGAGCCTTTTACCGTTAATCGATGACGTCAACGATCCCTCGACAGACGACTTCAGCTTAAGCCACCCCTCCAAACCGTACCAAAATCTGGCTGAAGTCGACCAGGTAAACTGTGACACCGAAAACTATTTCCACAAAAACAGTCCATCAAAAGGTAGAGAAATAAATCCAAACCTTGATCTGGTTATCTCGGGCCTTGACCCGGTTACCTCGGGCCTTGACCCGGTTACCTCGGGCCTTGACCCGGTTACCCCGAGCCTTGACCCGGTTACCCCGAGCCTTGACCCGGTTACCCCGAGCCTTGACCCGGTTACCGCGGGACTTGACCCGGTTTCTTTGGCAGGTAAAATATTTGATAAAAAAGAGCTGGGCTGGGAAAAAGCGTCTGAAAAAAATGTCCCTGCAACTTCTAAGCCCCAAAAAATGATGGAAAAAATACCCCAACTTGTAACTTGTGAGGAACCCGCAAACGGGCTACAAGAGACATTCAAAACACAGGAAAAATCCTCGAAAGTTATGTATTGTAAAGACAGCAAAGTTTCTAGGACTTTGCTTGCGTCTGAAGATAATTGCAAAGACGAGAAAGATGAAACAATGCTTTAAAGTTTGATTTAATTGAACTTATTTAATTTTCTCATGAAATGGATCTTTTCTATCTTATTTGAATACGTTAGCAATTGCTCAGTTCTTCATAGGATACGTTCTCAAAAAAATAGGATCTCAACTTACAAAAAGGTGCATTAAAAGTTGCATTGGGCGTAAAACTGTTAAGTTCATTGGAATATTTACATTAATGAAATTACACTATAACACGAAACTCACTGATACGAACTGATCTAACTGAAAATAATTATTATTTTTAATAGTTCACCATAGCTATCAACTTGTGTATTCCTGCAGTGACCTACAAATATGATGCTACCTCTATATAAATGATTATACCTCCATGCATACCTCTAAATGATGCCTCCCTGCATACCTCTAAATGCTGATACCTCCCTGCATACCTCTAAATGACGCCTCCCTGCATACCTCTAAATGATGCCTCCCTGCATACCTCTAAATGATGATACCTCCCTGCATACCTCTAAATGATACCTCCCTGCATACCTCTAAATGATGCCTCCCTGCATACCTCTAAATGATGCCTCCCTGCATACCTCTAAATGATTTATGAGAAAATAATCATAGCATACATGTACAAATCTATAGAATCTCCATGCGGTGCTATTGAAACTAAATGCTTATTAAAGCGATTTTTAAATGTTCTTGAAGATTTACTAACAAAAATGACCGCAAACTTTATGTCAAACATTGCTTAAGAAGATTTACAGGATTCAATTTAGGACTATAAAAGGAATACGAGGATATTTTTGGATTTAAAGACTTTCATAATAATCGTTTAAATTTTTTCAACAATTATGGCACTGAAGTATATATATAAATATTAAAACCTGAATGTGATAGTGATGATTCTGAACAGTATTTTGAAGTAGCTATATCATAGTCTTATTGCACGCTGGCCTAATGAAGTGAATAGTATTCTTTTAAATAATGTTGCCAATGTATACTTAATTATTCTTGTACATCGTTGTTTTATAATTCAATTTAATTTTAAACTGTCTAAACTGTCCTCATAGGATAACCTACCGAGCCCTGGAGAAGCGTGAGATCCTGGTCCAGATTTTCCAAATTTGAGGCAAAATTCTCGCCGAAAACTTTTTGTGATTGGACGGCTCCGTTCACAACACTGATAATTATCAACTTGTGAATTCACATTCATATAAGAATTTTCTTTGACTCCGTACTTAAAGGACCTTTAAAAAAAGGTCATTTGTGTAAATAGTTACACAGATGATTTTTTCGATCGAATATTGTAGGGAAAAAATATATGATGATACGGTAATAAATATCCCTTCAAATTATTCGAAATTATTATTAAGCATATCCTTAAGTTATCCCTGGATCTGAAGCTGAGAACCAACACTTCAATCTGATTATTTGCCGAAAATTAAAACGAATTATTGTGCTCCAATGAAAAGTCAATATAAGGAGTGGCCAGTTCAAAAGATCTCATTACGATACAACACTATAAAATATACAATCTACACAATAGCCGTCAAAATTCACGAACGAAATTTTTATTTATTGTATTCAAACACTCGAATTATAGTATTGTAAATTCACTGCCGTAACTTGCGACCAAGTGCACATTGTGATACATTAGCTCTGAATTGTGTCATTATGGAAGTTTTCAAAATAAGGTGAATGCCACGCAAAGATTAGTCTATTAATTTTAGTTAGGGAAAATTTATTTTTACATGGTTCTATAATAAATTAGTTGTAGATATTCGAAACATTACAAATTTATGACGGTTTGAAATGTCAGAGCAGGCATTAAATCTATTAGGTGAGAAATGTATAGTGTTCAGTCACAAAATTTTCTACTGTTTTCTTGTTCCCTGGTAAAATCTTACAATTTTCGTGTTTGACAAACATTTTCCAGTATATCCATCGTAAACTAGTAAAAAATGAATCGTTTAACATGCATTCAACGACGTTGCTCATACATCATGTTTAATTCATTGCAATCAAATTAATAAATATCTTGCAATAACGAAAATATTTTCTAGTGCGTGTGCGTTGATAACGCCTTTACTACAAGGAGCATCTTCAGATAACATCGAAGATCTAGTCTCTGTAAATATGACCTTGTCTTATCTATAATAGAATGATTTACCGATTACTGAGGAGCAACATGCTAATCAATAATAATATATTTAGCTATTACTTTTATCCTTTTATTATATCCTGGTGAATATATGTGTGAAACATTTATTTCAGATGAGCAGCAAGTTGAATTTATATTTTTAATCTTAAGTCACGTCGTCTGAGCAGTTTTAATACATTTTATACTATTTATGAAAGCAAAGTAAGCGATCCGGTATCTAGAGAACCAATTTCTAGAGTACCGGTTTCTAGAGTACCGGTATCTAGCGTACCGGTATCTAGCATACCGGTATTTAGAGTACCGGTATCTATAGTACCCGTTTCTAGAGTACCGGTATCTAGAGTACCGGTATCTAGAATACCGGTATTTAGAGTAACGGTTTCTAGAGTACCGGTATCTAGAGTACCGGTATTTAGTGAACAGGTACATAGAGTGCCGGTATCAAGAGTACCGGTATCCAAAGTACCGGTATCCAAAGAACCGGTACATAGAGTATCGGTATCTAGAATACCGGTATCCAAAGTACCGGTATCTAGAGCTCCGGTATATAGAGTACCGGTATCCAGAGTATCGGAATCCAAAGTACCAGTACATAGTGCACCGGTATCTAGAGTACCGGGATCTAGAGTATCGGTATCCTTAAACGTGATCATTCCGGTCAAGGCATTATGATGTCTAGTCTTAAAAACTGATCAAAGAAATTTAAAATGAAATGAGACTTGTTTAAATCATAATTCTTGCATAACTCTTGATGTCTTGTCTTGTTTCTGCGACTCGCTATATTTCAATGCTTGATCGAAATAAAAATGATGTACGAACAAAGTTTTCTGTGTTCTCAAAACGCTATGGTTTTTCTAACGTACCAAAACCATAGCCAAATTATGTTAATAAATAAAAAAAAGGGTAAAATGTACCAAAATAACAAATATTCTCGAATGTGTAAGATATTGAAATTATGTCAAAAGTATAATATTTCATAAGTCTATTTTTCTCGACTGTCTATAGATAGTCAGGATTGTCGTCCTTGTATTTTATAATGCTGATATAACTTGGATGGAAGACTTAAATTACCTTAATTTCAATGGTGCAATGTCGTTATGCATTTATTAGCTAATTTGGTTGTTCTGGTGGTTGTGGTGCAGAAACTGAGGGGTGGTTACAGTAGTGCTATCACCACAATAACCTTATATATTGTTACTATAACCGTTATGTTGTAAAATGTCGTTAGATTAGTTTGTACTGCTATGTGAACGTATCAAATGTTTCAGAAATCATATTTGTTTGTGATGTGTTTTACGCTGATGAAATTTACTTTGCTGAAAATCAGTTGCTGGTCCAAAAATACAGCCTAAAATTTTAAAAATCCCAAGCATGCAAATTAAATTATGTAATACGAATTATCAATAAATTACCCTCCTAATATCATATTACATAATAATTATGATGTAGATAACATCATTTAATGTCAAGCCTATAACAACAAAAAATCACTTTCTCCCGGATTCTTTCCTGATATTCTTGGCAAGATCCTTAAACTTTTCTTCTAGTAACGTTCCAAAGCAAATAAGTTGAAAAAGATATAACATCAAATAAATAAATAATTAAATCAACAATAAGTGAATTGGCCGACTTGAAAACCAAAAATTATATCAGTTTAATTTTTGCAAGGACATCAGTTCATTGTTCAAAATATATATATATTACTTTATATTTTTGATATTCGTTTTTGTTTCACCTATAGATTATTCGTTTCTTCCACTATCGTTCAAAAACATCACTTCGAATTGAAATTAAATGAACATGATTTCATTTGTTTCAAATATTATAAATGCACTGTAAGTTACATATCATGCTACTCATTGTCGGCCAATTAAAAAAAATTAGTAGGTTTCCTCGTTGTAAAAAAATTACAATTCTTATATGAACTTGAAATCAGCAACGATTAATTGTAAATAAACATTTCTCATAATCATAAATGTGTTTGGAAATATAGCATTTTTTTCAAAATCATGCACGAAACTATCAATCATATCGGAAAAGTAACGTCTCCAGATAATTTTCAAATGCGACTATTCTTTCCTATTCTGCTTTTTCTTTATGAAAACTCAATTTTTTTTCACGGAATAATCTTTTTGTAAACTTGAACTTGTTTTGCAATGTTTGGTTTCTTCGTCAATAAAAATTATTCATGCAAATCGGTTGACAGCGGCTTATACACTTGTGTGTTATATCTGGCTGCTGAACTAATCATTCGACAAACTCAAATCTCGAAAATTTAAATCTAGTTTTGAATGACAAATTATTGATTTATGTCTATTTTGTTTATGAGGCATGGATGGTGTGCCTGTAAAATGGTGTATATATTGTCATAAATGTAAAAAAGTTTAGATGTTCTATTTGTAAAATGGTGTAAATGCTGAAAATAACCTCAGTATAGTGATATGTGCAGGTCCCTAGCTGCCAGTAATTAAGCTAACTTTACCAATGTAAACCTAAGAAACTACTTGCATATATCTTTCCAATGCAATTTTTACTATGTACCCTTCCAAAGTCATGTAATCGTTGTAAATATGGACAGCATGTACACCCCTTATAATTATGGGCAACATGTAAACAATTGTACAAATTACCGCAAAACATGCACTACATGTGCAAAAATATTACCCACATTCAGCCAAGTACATGTTAGGATACAGTATATTGTATATATACAAGACAATATTAATGTTAATGCGTGCAAAAAAGACATGAAGCAGCGCTGAACGCCAGTGAATGTACTAAATAAATGTATGGAAGATGGAGGTTGGTGTAGTGTGCAGTTTAGGAATTTTGTCTGAATGTCCATCGATGTCATTTAAGTCACTATATTGATTTTTTGATTCGTATGACTTTGTTAATTCAGTCTGCAATTTGTTGCAGTTTATATTTCATAAGTACATTCTCAGTTTCTCATGTGTTCAATTCGAATGTATAACTGCAATTTTTAACGCATTTTCTCATTTATGGAAAAAAAGGCGCTGTTGTTCAGACGTTACAAATAGAATACATATTTGCTGTTTACTGTACATTACCAATCGATTGAATGATTCTAGTTTATTATATTAAAATCCATGCGAATATGCAACTGCAGGTTGTTGTGCATTGCCGTTCAAATATACAACAGCATTTTATTGTACGTGATCATATGACTGTATAATTGTGGTATATTGCACGTTACCATTTGAATGTACAATTGCAGGTTATTGTGCGTCCATTTTCGAATATATTTTTCAGTTTTTGTACATTGCCTGATAAATGTATCTTTGCATTGCGAAAAAAACACACAACCCAACAAGAGGAAGGTTCTGAAGAGTTCAAGTGCTAATTTCTTTTCAATATGTCCGACCACATATATCAGGTGTAACTACTGGGCAGGTGGCCTAGTGGTTACAGTTCAGAGTACCAGGATTATAGCAGAGAGGTGCGGGTTCGATCCCAGCTACCTGCGACAGATTCTTGTCAAATCGGCGAAGAGGCCGGGCGGTGAAACAAGGCAAAAATAGGAGCAGGGAGTTGCGTGTTCAAGACCGCAAAATGCTGTGAATGTTCTGTGATGTTAGGAATCGGCGACAGGCCTACGGCCTAATAAACGCTGATTCCGCAATTAATATTATTATTATTTTCAATCTATTTCGGACTCGCCGAAATGAAATTTCGGTGAAGCTCCCAAATGTTTAAAATAAGCTATATAATACAGTGACTGCAACTTTGAAAATGATTGCCATGAGTGACTGTAACTTTAAAAATTCAAAAACGCAGTTTCTGAATTTTCTTTAAAAATTTCCCTTTTTATTTTTGAATGAGTGTTCATTAGGTAGAATAACAACTGTCTACTATTTACATTCAATGAATTTAATTTCAAAAAAAATATTTATTTCACCTAGTTTCAGAGTAATGCCAAATTCATGTTCAACTTTCCAGAATATTCCATTTATAGTTAATAAATTATTTCTTAAGAACTTGCGAGGTCAGTTAGCGCGGGCCCAGCTATTTCCTTATCCAGCTATTTATTTAAAATCATTGGATAGTAACATAAATATAAATATTGTATAACATCGGTTTTGACAGAAAAATGTTGTACATCGATGTTACCGGAGACTTAATTAAGGCTCTGATTGAGAACCGCGAGGCTACGAACAGGCTCGGCTCTTCCCTATGCGTTTCTTCACAAATTAGGCTGCATGGACTTTACTCCGCTCGTAAATGAGGTGCGATATGGATTTTTACATTGTTTACCCATCTATTTATTTATAAACAGTTGCCAGGAACAAAAAATATATAAAATTTGTATTAAAAGCGTTATAATGAAAAGAAATTTCAAGAAAATTTGAATATTATTGTTCATCATGTCTGCAAATTTTTCACTTTTTTCGAGATGTTAACGGGTTGTAATTTTTATTCTCCATTGAATGGTATACTCGGCATTCCTTGATCAGCCTACTTGTTGTAGATATTATCTACCAAAAAAAAGTTTTGATCGAGCCTGCTGGTACGCGGAGGGAAAATCCCGCATACTAACTGCTCAATACTAACTGCGCTGTGGAAGGTATGAGGGAAAGAGACGTCGTAAATTACTGAAATGTCAGTTCATGACGGGCGGCACGGTGACTGCGAACTCAATAAGGGGCGAGGAATAACACGTGGCCAGTGGTGGGCCAAGTCCAATTAGTTATAGCCAACCGTTGACCATTCCTCGGCCACCTGAAAGCGACCAGTTGCCGCGAGAAAAGGGCTGGCTAGGATATCAAAGAGTACAAGCTCGATGGTAGCGACTGGCCGAGCTTCGGGCAGATCAAGGATTTCACACGATGGGCGGGAAAAACTCGCTCTCAGATTCATCGCTCATCTCAGATTCATTTTCTACTGATTGTTGTTGAATACATATCTGAATCAACACCCGTTCTGCAGACATCTACAGGCAATACACATTTTCATCACTACTATATCTGAGCTTTCACATTTTCTTTGGACGCTGGCGCTGAGAACGTAACAAGTGTCGTACTGTTCCTGCGATACCTTCCTGTACGGTCAAAAATCTACTGGCGTGCAGTAGACAGCTCTTGTCTACGCCACATGGAGCAGTGGGGAAGTCCTTCTCTACCCCACCTCGTTTGGAGGCAGACTGACCCATGGTTGAACTAGTATAAGGTTGACCCATGAGCTGCTCATTTTTGCGGATGTAGCTTGTTGTTCGCGTGTGACGTCACTGATCTCAGTGACGTCACGGGCATTAATCAATCACCGAAATACGTTCAAACCAGTCAACCAATCCGTCATGGGAATGACAGGATTGTTTTAATTTCTCGATCTCAGTGACGTAACAAGAAAACTTAACTGAAAGAGGGAAATCCTCGTGGGTCAACCTTAATAGTTCAACCATGGACTGCCTCGCTTACCCTCACTTGTAGTTCCTTCCTACGGCTTGATGTTAAAAGGATACACGTTTAAATTAAAACCTTGTATTGTTTGTGGGCGAGCATCCCAGTGACAACATGCGCTTCTCTTTAAGTGACACTAAGCAAACGAAAAGCCCAAGCCCAATTGATTCTAAACGTATCAATACATTGAAAAGATGATGGTATGATTTATCACGCTCGTTACTCAAGATTGAATAACGTAACAACATGAGTGAGAAATCCCAAAAATTGCGGCTGAAAGCTCATTTATTTGCTCTGGTAACCATTCATTATCATGTCAATGTAAATACCAATGATTCCAATCATTTCAACCCCGAACTCCCACCCCTCAAAAGCCTCAATGAGTTGCCACGACCTCACCTTCCCTCTCCATAATTCCCTCACACCCTCTTTTGGGAGTTCATGCCTGCATCGCTGCCGTTCTGAGTAAACTATTGGTCTCTGTACAGCCTGAATAACTGTCTCTGTATTACGATACATTTTAATTCCCAGTAAAAGTTAGACTTTCGATTCGTTTCTGTAACCTTGCTAATACGTGTAAATAATATCGAACTGATTCAGAAAGAATTAGTATTTTAGTGGCAAGAAGGTTTTACTGGAAGAACTTGTATACTCTTTTAGTTAATAGAATCAAAAGGATGGTGCCTGGTTTAAGCGACCGTAAGGGCATAATTACTCATCTCGCGGGATGGTGCCAATGAGAATGAAAACATTAGCTACCGCATCAGAAAAATTCTATTCATGAACGTTCGCTATCAATTTTGCGCAGCATCCGCGTTTGCTAACGAGAACACTAAAGAAAGTCTTTACAAAACGAGTTTTGCGTCCTGCATAACATCCTGCTAATTGGTACGACAGTCCGTCATCGAAGGAGGCAGATATTCTCACGGAGGGATTTTCTACAAGTCGAAATCCATGGTTTCAAGTTAAATGTCTAATACTCATAAGAGTCATTGTGCTTTCAGTCAAGACGTGATCAAGATAGCCGGGATCTAGATGGAACTAATCGTGTAAGGATTGTAGGTCTTCCGAAGAGAACTTAGTGTTCTGGAAGTTGAAAGTTGGAATATAGAATCTTTTCCAATCCAAGGTTTTGCCTTTGCACTAAAAACTTGGTCAGTGACATAAGTACATTGAACACCGAGACTTTTTCAATATTCAACATTTACAATCGACATAAAAAACATTACGTAGTGAACGTAACGATGGATTTGAAAGTTCATTATTCGAGAATGCAACGGAAGGTAAACATGCTTAATACGTTTAAAAAATGTGCATGAAGTTGCCCGAACAGGATTTAACGACATTCATCAATTTCATGGATAAGTTTAAGGATATTAATAAACTTGTCTGGACAAGATTTTGGATATAAATTATTTTCGGTCGATTCTGAACTTTAATTTGCATACGAAGATAAAAAAACAGGTTTCACCGGGCAAACGATGGCAAGGAGAGTATTCTATACAAAATATTCCATGATACTTGAGACACATCAACAAATTTCAAGTATATGACCATCACATGCACGCTCCAATGACAATATCTATACATTCCTTTGTAAGCTCTAATTTTGAAAAGAATTGTAGACTACGTAGAGAATGTCGGAAATTAGGGTAAATTGTTTAACATTCAACAAATCTTGACTACTTTTTTGAAAACCCTCGTTTTTGAAAACCCTCGTTTTTGAAAACCCTCGGCGACTGCCTGAAACCGGAGAACAATCGCTGCCTTGACTGCGCTCAGGCCTCGCNACAACATGGATTAGGAGAGAATGTCCAGGTTATAAAATTCTTAAAACAAGCCGTTGCTTCCAAGCTAATGACATTGAAACAACGCTGATTATGAGCTAATTTCGTTGAAACAAATTTACTTCGACGTTATATCAACGTCAGATGAAGTATTCTCAGAAACGAAAATAAGGCTTCAGACATCTTGCACCACTTCGACGTTTTCCGAGTAGCACACGTTTTGTCTGGCTTCGTCTAATTTACTTTGCATTTCATGTTCGACTTCGTTGAATTTACTTCTCAATTCATGTTCGAATCTGTTTAATTTACTTAGAAGCTTTTCAAGGCCTTTCTCCAGCTCTACGACGGATGCTGGAGCTTGCAATCGTTCATTAGAAGGCACCCAGCAAGCGCCGTTCTCGTCAAGCTCATTAGCCATTACTGTATGCAGCTTGTAAATGGTTCTTCGTTTTTCATGTGGACCCAGATCCTGCAGGCGCTTTTTTAGATACTCGCAAAATATGTCTTCCTCTGAGCGATCAGTCTCTAACTTCTCCATGGCGTCAGCCACCCGCGACATTATCACAGACGAGTAGGTATTCAGAGAACTCTTAACCTTTCTAAATTCACTGGTGGAACATCGGCTTGAACGTTGAACAGGCCGTTTGTCCCTTGGATGGGCGACGTTCGTTCCAACATATTCAAAATCAGGACCTGAATAACTAGTGTCACTGCTGCTACTACTGTTGTTGCACGATTTCGACTTAGACGTAGACAATGAGGAGACCTCTGAAATTGTCAGTGTAGGAGAGATTTGCCCATAGTTCTCTTCACCTCTGTAAGGCGACACCGAGCGGAAAACGCTTGCGTAAAGTGCAGGAAGACGCTCGTCGGTGTTGGAGACGTAAACGCTCGTTGGTGAGTGTCGGCTACTGCAGTTCTCGGCTTCAGGCTTCTGTGGAATAAAACTTCAATAATAAAATTGCTTAACAATCTCTGAAAAGGACATAATCTCATAATTATTAAAAATTGTTTAGAAAAATACTCCTCCACAATTTTACTTCATGAACAATATTGGTGTTCGTTGACGTCCCTAAAACTTTTAGCTTCTCTACACTAATGGAACACAAGCTATGAAGGAGGTTCATGTCACAAAAAACTGTCCACATGAAATATTTTTCTAGTGGAGGGCTGGTAACGTTGGTCATCACACTCAAACTCGCGGGTGCTAGACTAACTGCATTAATTTAAAACAATAGAAGCTCTCTGGGAAACTATTAGTGAAACTTGGTAAAATTAACCATCATTTCATGGATAAAACTAAGATAATCCATCCCATCGGTGTATACAACTCCATGGCACGTCACGCTTTATATTGAAAATCATGCATTCAATTTTCATCATTTAAGGTTTACCATATTCGGAAAAAAAATCTTGACATATCCCTTGTCCAAATTAATTTAACCTGCAGGCCATCCGCCGAAATGTCGGAAATTCAAATATCCTTCCAATTCGATTGAGAATAGAAAAGAAATCCTAAATTAGTTTCCAACATTTTAATCCTAAATAAGAGTCACTCATAATTATCCATTACTACTGTTCCGTTCGAGTTATAATAGTTATTTCACTGCACTGTATATACTCACCGAATAAGAGTATTGTGGAACGTCGACGTCGTCAATGCAATGGTGGTTAGGCATCGTTAATTGAGAGCAAAAAGATCACAATAGAATTTGTTATTCGAAAATTTGAATTCGCCAAGCTAGGCCACAAGACCTCGACTATCTTCTAACTATGACACTTTAGAACGTCAGTTAGAAATTTCTGAAACTGAAGCAGTGAAATGGTAAACAAGACATGGAATAAACTTATCGAGATGTGGCATCAAGTCGCAGTTCACAAAAAATTTTAGATTTCAACGAAATTCTATAACATTTTCTTGTGTGACTAAACAAATCCTACAAATTTAACAAATGAAAAAAAAAGGATATGAATTTAGAAAATTAAAAGAGGTATTTCCTCGTATCGCGAAATTTTCTTGCCAAACCAACGATTTAAAACTATTTTAAAAAATGGACACATTAGAAGAGTAGAAATAGATTTGAAAAATTCTCGAATTCAACACTTCAATCTAGCTTAAATTAACGATGATAATAATTGCGATGTGGACTCTAAGCTGACTGCGCATGTAAAATTAAGACTGCAAGGTAAAAATCAATGGTGCCACCGAATAAGATTCCTTTCTTACAGTAACTAATTTTATTAACGCATACAATACCTGCCAAGCTGTTACAAGAATAAAAATTCCTAAGCTTTTTACTTGTATTTGGGCAAGAATCGTGCCTTCATGGTTTCTAATTTCGTGATTTACAAGTGGTACACTCAGAAAATTAATGGGTCATTTCTATCAGAATGGTGACGTAGCACTGATACGTCCATAAGCCGGACAAAATTTGGTCTGGATGGCCCACACTAGAGCAAGAAGTGCATCGCTATTCGGACAAGTTAGAATTAGCTTGTCCATTGTTCCGAGTGTAGTGCACGATTCACACGCCATAACCCATGGTTGAACTATACAAGGTTGACCCATGAGAAGTTCCGTCTTTCAGTTCAGCTTTCTTGTTACGTCACGTAGATCGAGAAACGTAAACAAACCCGTCATTCCCACGACGGATTGGTTGACTGGTTTGATCGCAATTCGGTGATTGGTTAATGCCCATGACGTCACTGAGATCAGTGACGTCACATACGAACAAAAAGCGCCATCCGCGGAAACGAGCTTCTCATGGGTCAACCTTATACTAGTTCAACCATGCCGTAACCGACCCACAGGGCACTATCCTCCGACCGAGTTTTGGTCGGTTTTAATGGACTAATAACAGCGCAGCTATCACTTCAAGGGCTGAAACGAATTGGAGTCTCAGGGTGCAGCGTTGATAAACCTCACCCCTCAGCAGCTATCAAACAGAAAAGCTTTGAAAAAAATAAATTCCACATCGTATCACGAATACGAATTTAAAATTTGTATAGAGGCCACGCTTCAGTATCGTAGATTAGTTCAATGATGGTCGATTAGTTTCATTTTGGTCTTAGAATATTAAAGCAAGCGTCAACAGGACTGAACGTTAATGGTGTATAGCTACCGTTCAGCCATTATCGTTAACGTGACAACGGGTGAATACATTTAGTAGAGCACATGAACAAGGCTTGACAATGAGATACATTTGAAGTAGAGGACAAATAAATTGATTAAACATGTAATGAAGAAAAACATTCAAAGTAAACCTTGGTGCACATGACCCTTCAGCAGCTTTATTTATGTAATTTACTGATGAACTCTTCCGACACTTTCTTTCCAACAATCTCCTGGAAAATATTAAACATTGCACATGCTATTTTCATATTGCTTTTTGATCGAACCTTTATTATATACCATGCAGAGGCACGAGTAGCAACTCAAAAACCTGATGTTCGTGCTTCAAATGCAATCATTTACTCTCTTAATGAAAACTACAAAGGAAATTTCGAAAAAAAGTTAAACCTTCTCTGAGAAATAAAATGGAAATTTTTTCTATAAAATGCGATTAATAGCGACGGAGGGAATTGAGGCTAATTCAACGATATAAACATGGTGAGATCCTCCAAGATTGGAGGTTCAAAAATTTTCAACCGTCTGCCACCAGTCTGGTCAAAATCTTCAACGCTGACCCTGCAATGATACTATATATAGAATGAAGATCGATTGAAGTAAATGGGAATTTTCAGGGAACTTCTCGTTCTGGCGTTTTACTTTGAAGAAAGTTATTAAACAGTTTATTGTAAAAGCTTTCTGTTCTTCCTCAATAATGATATGAAGTTATACCATATATTTTAGTATATATGGTGAATCTCTGTACACTATAAAATATACAATCTACACAATAGCCGTCAAAATTCACGAACGAAATTTTTATTTATTGTATTCAAACACTCGAATTATAGTATTGTAATGAGAAGTTCCGTCTTTCAGTTCAGCTTTCTTGTTACGTCACGTAGATCGAGAAACGTAAACAAACCCGTCATTCCCACGACGGATTGGTTGACTGGTTTGAACGCATTTCGGCGATTGGTTAATGCCCGTGACGTCACTGCCGTCACACGCGAACAAAATGCGCCATCCGCGGAAATGAGCTCATGGGTCAACCTTATACTAGTTCAGCGCAGCTATCACTTCAAGGGCTGAAACTAATTGGAGTCAGGGTGCAGTGTTGATAAACCTCATCCCTCAGCAGCTATCAAACATAGAAAAGCTTAAAAAAATTCCACATCGTATCACGATTACGAATTTAAAATTTGTATAGATGCCACGCTCCACGATCGTAGATTAGTTCAATGATGGTCTATTAGTTTCATTTTGGTCTTAGAATATTAAAGCAAGCGTCAACAGAAATGAACGTTAATGGTGCAGCTACTCCACTTCAGCCATTATCGTTAACGTGACAACGGGTGAATACATTTAGTAGAGCACATGAACAAGACTTGACAATGAGATACATTTGAAGTAGAGGACAAAGAAATTGATTAAACATGTAATGAAGAAAAACATTCAACGTAAACCTTGGTGCACATGACCCTTCAGCAGCTTTATTTATGTAATTTACTGATGAACTCTTCCTACACTTTCATTCCAACAATCTCCTGGAAAATATTAAACATTGCACATGCTATTTTCATATTGCTTTTTGATCGAACCTTTATTATATACCATGCAGAGGCACGAGTAGCAACTCAAAAACCTGATGTTCGTGCTTCAAATGCAATCATTTACTCTCTTAATGAAAACTACAAAGGAAATTTCGAAAAAAAGTTAAACCTTCTCTGAGAAACAAAATGGAAATTATTTCTATAAAATGCGATTAATAGCGACGGAGGGAATTGAGGCTAATTCAACGATATAAACATGATGAGATCCTTCAAGATTGGAGGTTCAAAATTTTTCAACCGTCTGCCACCAGTCTGGTCAAAATCTTCAACGCTGACCCTGCAATGATACTATATAGAATGAAGATCGATTGAAGTAAATAGGAATTTTCAGGGAACTTCTCGTTCTGGCATTTTACTTTGAAGAAAATTATTAAACAGTTTATTGTAAAAACTTTCTGTTCTTCCTCAATAATGGCACTTATAATACGAGTCTCATAATCTCATTCGTTTGTCAGAAGATCGGATCAATTACAAGCCTAAATTATTTCTAAATTTAACCCACGGCAATGCCACTGAACTTCTGAAGACTCCGACCTTAAATTTGTAACAATTACGAATTACGTCTATCTAACGAGATCGAAAGTTTCCTTTGTATGTAGTAACTAATGCTGCCCTAACAATCTTAGTTCTGACAAGAATTACACAGATTATATTGACAAGCAGCTAGTTGAGTACAGCGTCATTGACCTTACTCAGATCTAAAATGGTGATTCAATTCGAACGCCGTCCAATAGTCAAGAATTATAGCTAAGTCCCCAGATTTTGCTAGAAGTGCACTCAGAACCTTGAAAGTCATATTGTACACAAGGTGAAAAACTTTCACCATGTAGCATTAATACTCCAGTCATTTTTGAGGCGAAACTGTCTCTGTATGAACCATACAGGCCAGGGCATAAAGCCCATTCCTGATTCGCTGTATGAACTAGAAGTCTCAAATCTCAGAATGTACGGCCATTACACGAACGCGAGTCTCCCTTCCAAATTTCCAACACATGTTACTGCCGTAATAATATCTATTATTACTTTACCATTCTAAAGTTGAGCTATATGACTTGTCAAATCTCTAAATAATCAATCGCGAGTGGAACAAATAGTAGTCACGATCTAATAGTGGAATAATTCTTGTCACGTGGAGCCGTTGCACGTCATGAAAATGGTAAATGGTTCTCACGAACAATTTCTACTTTTTTCTGTAACATTAAGATGTACTTGATTAATTAAATCAGGTGGCTAAGGATAATATTACTATTTTTATCGCAATTACACAATTCGTACTGATGAAAAAAATCGATTTAATTATCAGAGCGTTAAGCTTGACTATATTGTTCGTGAATCGAAATAAGTTGTTTGAATATATTCAGCTCATATCATGAATAACGTTCTTATTCTTTATCCACAATCATCGACTAACTAATATTACTGGCATGAATAGACATTATTTGTTTAATCGAACAGAATGTATTTCATTTAATTCATTAATTCTAAATGTTTGATTATATATAATTTAAATTAAACCGGGAGAAGCGGCATGAAGCACGCCTGGAGTAGGTTAGTGCTGACACAATCGGAGATATTTAAAAAGAATATAAATTTGGAAGAAAAATTGAACAGCTGGCAAAAAAATAATAATGCATGAATGCACGAGTGATAATGTATGACCTGTACCATAGCGCCCACGTGACGCCAGCAACACGTAACTCTAGCAACACGTAACTCTAGCAACACGTAACTCCAGCAACACGCAACTCCAGCAACACGTAACTCTAGCAACACGTAATTCTAGCAACACGTAACTCTAGCAACACGCAACTCCAGCAACACGTAACTCTAGCAACACGTAACTCTAGCAACACGCAACTCCAGCAACACGTAACTCTAGCAACACGTACGTAACTCTATAGCAACACGCAACTCCAGTAACACGTAACTCTAGCAACACGCAACTTCAGCAACACGCAACTTCAGCAACACTCAACTTCAGCAACACGCAACTTCAGCACGCACGCGACCTCAACTTGAATGGAAAGTTGAGTTTAGTATAGTATAGTATCTTCGGCATTGAAGAATAGGCCTGTCGCCGATTTTTGTATTTTTCTTGACTAGACTGGCCTTTTGATCAAATCTTTTCAACGAATGGTAGGTTTAAATCGTTTCCATGCATCGTTTTTGAGATCTGCAGATCTCAATTTTCCGTAGGATACGAGGCATTTCAAGACTAAACATATGCTCCTGCATGACCTTGTCTAGTCTGTTCTTGAAGGCGTTCATACTCGGAGCGTCAACAATATCTTCAGGTAGGCTGTTCCACATGTCGGTGACTCGAATCGAAAAGAAATGTTGTCGCAATAAATGTCGCATGGATGAGTTGCACCGCCGTTTTTTCAGTTTATAGCTGTGTCCCCTTGTGTTGGTTCTTGTTTCAAATTCTAGTAATCCTTCTGGGACCTTGTATAAGACATAAGTATATACTTGTATACTTCAATGAGGTCACCACGCTGGCGACTATAACGGAGACTGGGAAGCTTCATAATTTTCAATCTTTCTTCATAAGACTTGCCCTTTAAGCCAGGAATTATCCTTGTTGAACGTCTTTGAACACTCTCTACTACATTTTTGTCCTTTTCAAGTCTCGGTGGCCACACAACGTTTCCAAACTCTAGGTTCGGGCGCACGACAGAGGTGAACAACAGCTTCATCGTTTCTACATCTAGGTACTCGTAAGAGCGTCTGATCAGCCCAAGCAGTTTATTGGATTTATTAACTTCTGTTTCAGTATGCCTAGAAAATTTTAGCTCCTTGTCGACTCAAACCCTAAAATCTTTTTCCATGCAAGACTTCTCAATCATAACCCTCTCGTTGCAAACCATGTCTTCTCATGCTGTAAGCTTGCTGTTCATTGTTCTTGCCGAGGTGAAGTCCTTTACACTTGTCAGCATTGACACGCAGCTGCCACGCATCAGTCCAGTCAACTAAACTATCAAGATCATTTTGCAGTTGCATTTTATTTGACGCATCCTTAGCTGTATTGTAAACTTTTGTATCCTCAGCATACACGGAGCACACGCTTGACACTACTTCTGGTAGATCGTTTATAAAGGCGACCAACAAAACAGGCACTATAGAACTCTTCCTTGCGGTACGCCACTGCGCACATGCAGTTGCGCCGTCTGATACGGTTCCGTTAATTCTGACACGTTGTCTTCTGCCTACTAGGAAATTCCTCATACATTGGATTACATTTCCCTCTATTCCCAAAGAATTCACTTTACGTAACAGTCGCTCATGCGGCACGCTATCAAATGCCTTGGCAAAATCGAGGTACACTGCATCCACTGGCACCCTTTCGTCCAGCAGGCGAGTCCAAATATTCAAGGTAGACAGGACATTAGTGGTGCATGATCTGCCAGAAAGAAAGCCATGCCGACAGTCTGATAGAAGATGGTTAACAGTCAAGTGGTCGATAATTCTAACCCTCACAGCCGATTCCATCACCTTACACACAACACTTTTGAGACTTACAGGACGGTAGTTACCGGGCTTAATTCTGTCACCTTTTTTGAACAGGGGTGTCACTTGGGCTTCCTTCCAGTCAACCGGCAAAGTCCCTTTGATTAAGGTTTTTCGAAAGAATACTGTTAAAGGGCCGGTCAGGACGGTTGCTAATTCGTTAAGTAATCTAGGGTGGAACCGTCTGATCCAGATGACTTGTTGGGATTCAGGGAGACCGACCAGGCGCTTGAGAACTTCCTCTTCGTGTATCTCAAAACTAGTTAACTTCGAGCCCACTGGTCGCTCCTCAATAGCTGGAATACTGTTCAAGTCCTCATCTGTGAAGACGCTGCTAACAACTGATTTAGAACATTGGCCTTGTCCTCATCAGAAGATATAATTCGTTTATTTGCATTCAAATCAGCAATACCGTCCCTTGTCTTACATTTCGAACTAGCATGCAAAAAGAAGGCTTTCGGGTTCTTTTTTGAGTTTTTGGCAACATATTTTTCAAAATTTTTGACTGCGGTGCGACAAGTTTTTTTAGCTTGATTTCGAGCTCTCGCTTACAGGTTATACTCAGTATCGCTACGAGTTCGTTAATAACACTTGTAGGCTTTTTCCTATGCCTTTAGCTTTGCTTTAACCGTATTGTTCATCCTCTATGTTTTTCTGACTCCACCAAGCTTTATCTTAGGTACACATGCACGCATCAACTGCAGACACAACCATGTTCTTGATGAATGACCACGACTCCGCCACATTCATGTTCATAATACAGTCCGAAAAGTTCGCTGCACTCACTGATTCAGGAAGTTTAACATATTCGCCTTTCGCAAAGTTGAAACGCTCAGGCTTTCGAGGCGTTTTTTTCTGTATGGCACTTAATACTGAAAAACAAAGACTGATGGTTACTTTTGCCCAACGGAGCCTCGTGGCGAAGCTCTTCTACCATTGATTCATCACTAGTAAACACCAGGTCTAGAGTATTGGTAGTCTGATTACCTCTAAAATGGGTTGGCTTTGTGATGTGCTGGTATAGAAATGAGTCTCTCACAGACTCCATGAACAAGGATGAAGGGTGATTCTCATCCCTTGGAGATTGAATCCTCTCCAATGGTGAGGATTCATTTGTCCAGTCTATTTCTGGATGGTTAAAGTTTAATTAAGACTGTCTTGAAAGTTAACGTTTTTTCGTTTTCTATTGGCAAAAAGTATTTACATTCCAGCGGTAACTTGTCCATTACTGCGTAATCTACAGCCTTGCTCAATATCACGTGTCAAACATCGAGAGCGAAAATTCCTTAAAATACTGGACTCTTATTTCACCAGTTCTTCTATACGTAAGACATTTTGACAAGTATTAAATACTTTTATGAGTGAGAACCATAGTAAAGTCCATAAGAGATTCACAAAGAAAGATATTCCGATAATCGCAGGAGAAGGAAAAAAATTTACATATAAATCACAATAGCATTAATTACGCTCAAACGCGCGGAAGCCTTTAATTTGGACCTTAAACTTTCTAATTATATTAAAAGTATTACTGTGATAAAATTTTTAACATTTTTCTTACAAATTGTTCTATTTTCAATCTAATCGCTCATCTTTCAATTCCACACTCGTGAAGAACGCTGGTCCGTTCCAGAGGCACCTGTGAGTATATGCGTGTACGAGCTCAAGATGGCGTCCGGGTTTTAACATTAATCGAAGTCTTCCATTGTTAGTCGTTGAAAATTTGTCGTAAATATCACTGATGTCATCGATTTGTTAAAAATTCATAATAATATAGCTATATTGTTTAGCAGTTTCAATGCACCGTTAAGTAGTTATATAAAAATATAACGACGTGTGGTAACTTGCATCACAGGTGTTGAGGTTCCGAGGTTCGGGTTCGCCTATTGCTGGATCTCAGTTGGTGTGAATGTGTGGCGCGAAGAGGTTACGTTTCTGCCTTCTCTGTGACTGTTTCCATAACTCGAAGCTATCTCGGTTACTTACTTTTTACTAGTGACCACTTTCGGGACAAGTAACCTGTGTCGTTGCGAGTTAATAAATTAAGACGGTGACATTCATGTATAATGCGGATATTCCAGTTTTTTGAACCAGTTTGCAGGCTTCCAGGCATGTGCCAACTTTGCTTTTAGAAAACTCCTCCAATTTGCCCTATGGGAAAATACGTCTTTTTTTTGCTCCGTTACGAAAGAAGCCGAATGGAAAGTGAGGCAGGAGTCAAGCAAATTATTTTCATGCTACTTCTGCTCTGTTTTAATCGTCAGTGTGCCTTTTTCCGTCTTTCAAGCGCGAGAAAATTGCACAATTACTGTTAAATTTTCCTATCATTGACTGATCAAGTGAAATCATAGGTTGACTGATTGCTGTCAATTGGTTATGCTCAATTCTTTCGACTTAATCAGCAGAAGTTTTAGAATACTATATATGTAAAATCCGATCAATTTGTTGCTTTCGTAGTTATTGTGATTTATTGTATTACTGCAAATTTGAGTGCGAAATACATAATGATTGGGATAAATTATCGTTCTTCTTGTTAGTCTCTTTCTAATTTTTCCAGGAATTTTAATATATTTATTAGACAAGTGCCGAGTGGACAGCTCTGAGTGATAATATAGGCGCATTTTCCTATTTTTATTTAGGCAGCTCTAGTTTTTAACATATCGACGGTCAGTTGACCTTATTACTGTCATAAAAGTCTTTTAAAAACACGACACGAAACATTCATGCCTGACGCGTTAAGACGTGCTTAATTTTAACCCGCACCCGGTTTTAAACTCGAACTTAAAATAGCATTTACCTAGTTTTTAAACCGAAGAACATATCCCCGTGTTTAAACATTTCAAAAGTGTGTTGGAAACAGAAAATAAACCAAGTATTTTATTGAATAATTCCACACGAATGCCAAGTATGTCGATCATCGGCGAAATTACAGACGGCGGGCTCGTGCTGGACGAAGACGCGGCGCCATGCGAACGCCTCGGCATCTTCTGGTGTGGCACGGCAGGGTTAGGTGGCCACCTTCTGGGTACTGATGAGGAGAACATACTTTACATCAGATATCTCGTCCTCGACGTCAGCACTAAGCAGGTACATAACACTTTATTTATGCTTTATCATTATTATTAATATTGTTATTATGATAATACGTAAATAAAAACTACACTTTATTCTCTACCGATTATACTTAGAGAAGATACTTAACAACAGATATCTCGTCCTCGACGTCAGCACTAAGCAGGTACATAAAAACTTTATTATATGTTTTATTATTATTATTATTTGTATTCTTATTATGATAGTACGCAAATAAAAAACGCTACCTACACTTTATTCTCTACCGATTATACTTAGAGAACATAATTTACAACAGATATCTCGTCCTCGACGTCAGCACTAAGCAGGTATATAACACTTTATTTATGCTTTATTATAATTATTGATATTGTTGTTATGATATCATAAATAAAAAACTCTACACTTTATTCTTTACCGATTATACCTAGAGAACATACTTTACCTACATAAGATATTTCGTTTTCGACGTCAGCACTAAGCACGTACGCAACACTTTATTTATGTTTTATTATAATTATTAATATTGTTATTATGATAGTACGTAAATAAAAAACTCTACACTTTATTCTCTACCGATTATACCTAGAGAACATACTTTACATAAGATATTTCGTTTTCGACGTCAGTACTAAGCTGGTACATAACACTTTATTTATGCTTTATTATAATTATTAATATTGGTATTATGATAATACGTAAATAAAAAATGACTACATTTTATTCTCTATCGGTTAGACACAGTAAGCCACTTGGAACACTCTACCAAATGTACCAATTACACATAACACGCCTTTTTCATCAAGATATGTCGATCGTGTCTTGGACGGAAAACGGTTTTTCGTCTTTACATGTAATACCTAAGTACCTAAAATATCATAGTCTTTAATATAATTACAGCTGTTGGTGATCTTTTTTTAATTAGCTTGTTAATGGTATGACAATGATCGAGTTTACTCCGGCAGCACACTCGTTATGGAAAGCTTGTGACACTTTTTCAAGAAAAATTTAAATTAGAAATGTGATGAAACAGGCCATATGTGTGGTCACGGCCGTGAATTGGGAATTAAATAGGCTTATATGGATTCATATTACAAATCAATCGAAAGGCCGTGACTTGAGTGAATGAACGAGTGGCGATATTGTTCATTTATTGCATTGAAGTGATGATGATGATGTCATCATTAAAATATTAACAAATTATTCGCTTTTTATTCATTTGTTAAAATTACATATTGCTCTAGTAGTGAACGTCCGATTCCCCTCTCCCCCAATGGGCAAAAAGATAATTTTTTTTTTCATTTATATCTCTTATTAAGCCCCATTTATTTTGCACTAATGCTCAAATTCAGCATTGATTGCATTCACTGGAAGCCATTGGAGCTGCTTTATAAATGGATTTTGATACATATAAATATAGTTGTCATTAAGGAAGTATTTTCCCAAAGCATCAATTACCCACCAAAACATATCCTACCGAAAATATCGATGACGAAATTAGTCATACTTAATTTGCATTCGTTGGACGAATATTACTTAATATTAATATATAATTTAAATCGATTTATGTTATACAAATTGATTTATTCCAAGCACATCTAAATAATCTTCTAAAGCATACACCGCGTGCACTCAGAAAAATAAATGAGTCATATGGTCCAAATAGTGACACATTTTCTGCACGTTACACTGCTGCGTTTGACCGGGCCAAACTGAGTCCGGATAACTCAGAAATGGGCAAAAAAGGCAAAAAGTGAATGTGGACAAAAAGAAAGGCAAAAAAAGGCAAAAAGTGAATGTGGACAAAGTCTCACCGATATTTTTCAGTGTGGACGACCGGGCAAAGAGTTTCCTATCAGGAAATTTGATCTGAAAGGAAAAGCTTTAGGATTTCTTTATCTATGACAAAAAACTTTTATTCTAACAAAAATGTCATGCTTTCGAGATGGAAATGCCGGCATCAGTTTCTGAACATTTTTTTTGTCTGTAAACTGATATTTTTCACAATTTTTTTCCTAATTGAAATTTCTTGTTTTAATCTGTGAGTGAAGAGCTGAATAGTTGGAACGAGGATAATATCTTGGAGAAATTTATGCAGAATATTAAGTTGGAACCATGACTTATTGCCACTAACAATAATATTAAACATTCTTAATATATATTTGTTTATAGTTTGTTACAGAAAATAACAGTCCTTGTTACTATAGAAAATAGAAAGCACATATCCAAGTGCATATACAACTTAAATAAGAGATGAACGTAAAATGGTCTATTTTTCCTTCAATTAGGTTTTACTCGAATATATACTATAGGTAATCATTCCAATAATTATTTTCTTGATCTCAATTGACGATAAAAGTCAGTGTTTGGAGAGTCGGTAGTATTTATTAATTATAGGTACGGTATCTAAGATCAATCTTTTTGTGTTTCGGATCGCAATTAGAAATTATTTGATATTAATATCATTTAATTCACAATAATTTAGGATATGGTATTAGGAAAATATTGATTATTTCACGCACGGTCACATCCAAATCAGCGATAACGCTTAATTCTTTAGTACGGTATTTGTAAAGAAATACTGGAAGTCGAGTATTAGGTATATGCATTTGGTTTTCTTTTGCTTAACTTAAAATCTACCTTTTTCCAGGTAGTTTTTCACCCCTCTCCCCCCCATACTCGAAACTAGCCTAGCCTCCTAGAGATGAAATCTCTACTCGAAGTTTTACTCATTGCCGGACTTGAAAAACTGGAGTTATTGAATCAATTTTTATGTATAGCTGACCTAAGCTTTCTCGCTGTTTATAGTTATATTTCCAGAGAAAAATACCAATGAAATTCCTTACAATTTACACATCTATACAGCAATAATTTATACAGTAATTTCAGTATGATGAATTTATAATTCTGTGTACATGAACGAATTATTAAGGTTTTTCTCTTAATTTTCCTTTAGAATGAACATATATATTTATTTCTTACTTGAATAATCATATCATACCAACGTTGAGTAAGTTGAACATATATATTTATTTCTTACATGAATAATCGTATCATACCTACGTTGAGTAAGTTTGTCAAAATACTACTTTTCTTCTTACTAACGTTATTGAATATCTATATTTTTTGCTTGCACGGCTAGCAGATGAACTTGAGAGGCTGAGGTGAACTGTCTGCTTGTTTGTCGCTATTTTAGCATCTCAGGTAAACCGCATCTAAACCTGTCATCCCCCCCCTCCTGTGAGCCCACCCTGAGCGGCAACGTATACTGACCGACGAGCGGGAAAATATACTGTCCGACTAGCAGCAGCGTATACTGACCGATGAGCGGCAACGTATACTGACCGACGAGCGAAAAAAAGTTCTCATCATCAGTGGATTTGAAAACTTATCATTTATGGGTGCATGTTAGTATCGTCGAATTTTTCCCTCTTGGAATTTTTATTTTCCGGTCTTAAAATTTCTTTCGTTCCTATCTCTCGACATTCCATTCCATTTCCTTTACATCCTCACATTTATTCCAGTAAATGTAAATACTCGAGTCTCTCACTTCAGGTAGCAGTTTATGGGTATATGGCAATAGTGTGACCATCGATAAACCATTTGTGGTTAGCCATAAAAAGTAAGTTTATGGACACCGCATCTCGGGTGAAAATTTTACAATTGACTTCCGTTCGTGTATTGGTTTGCTGCTCCATCTCAAAATATGTACTCAGAAAAATAAATGGGTCATATTGGGCCTTAGTTCTATTTTAACTTGGTCTGGATTTACCCACACCAAGGCAAGAAGTGCATCGCTACATGGAAAAAAATATCGCTCACTAATTTGTGTGCTCAACTTGTTCATATTGAGAAAGAGCCTTAACAGCTGCTTTGATTGATATATACTCCGCAGTATATGCTTCGCTATCCTCAGTATACGCTTCAGCATACTCCGCGATATACGCTCATTAAGCCTCAATGTACACATCATTAAGCCTCACTATACGCCTCTCTAAGCGCATCACTATACGCCTCAGCATACGCCGCGATATACGCTCATTAAGCCTCAGTATAAACCTCATTACGCCTCAATATACCTATCTTTAAGCCTCAATATACACCTCATTAAGCCTCGCTACACGCTTCATTATACGCCTCACCATACGCCTTCGTATAAGCCTCAATATACGCCTCATTAAGCCTCAATATAACCCTCATTTAGGCCTCATTATACTTCCCACTATACGCCTCAGCCTGCGCCTCACTATACGCCTCATAACGCCTCACATAAGAGCACGCTGCAGGTGTACAGTATCGAGCGGCAGCGCAGGTGATGTACACTTGCTGCTGCTGCTGCCCTGTACCGCGGCAGTCCCGGAATTGTGTGTTATGTACGCTTTTATTTGGTTTCTGGTATAAAAAATACCATTATTTTAACTGGGCTAGAGTTCTGTGTTCACTAATATTGTGTTCTGTGTTCACTATTATATATGGTGTTCACTGAACATCACAGATATTTTATATCATTGAGAATATCTATTAGGAACAATATACCGTAGATATAATACTCTCCTACAGAAATGGTCTCTACCGATAAAAAACGTTTGAATAACGTTGATTAAACGTTGTTTCTACAACATCAAGTCATCATCATTGTTTTTTCAACGTTATTTAACTGAAGTATATGGTCATTAAACAATAGAACTTTTAATTTTTATATCCAGTATATTTGTATCCAATTGACTCGTCAGTGCCTGTAAAATAATTATATAATAATCTAATTAAGGGTGGCATAAGTGAGTGTTAAGCTAATTATTTTAGTGCAAGTTTGCTAATTTGTGCAGTGTCAGATTATATAGGCCGGGTTAAAATTGTTATAAGTAACAATACTTTATATGCCAGGTATATTTTAAAATAAATTTTGAATATATAATTGCCCTCCTGATAAAAATTATTTCAAATGTATTTAAATACACCATACATACACATGTTAGTGAAAACCATTCATAATTTATGGATACACATGAAGGAGT